TCGGCCAAAATTCACCCAACTTATTGTGGGAAGCTTGTGGAAGGCTACCCGAAATGTTTGACCCAAGTTAAACAATTTAAAGGCAATGCTACCAAATACTAATTGAGTGTATGTAAACTTCTGACCCACTGGGAATGTGATGAAAGAAATAAAAGCTGAAATAAATCATTCTCTCTACTATTATTCTGACATTTCACATTCTTAAAATAAAGTGGTGATCCTAACTGACCTAAGACAGGGAATCTTTACTAGGATAAATGTCAGGAATTGTGAAAAACTGAGTTTAAATGTATTTGGCTAAGGTGTAACTTCCGACTTCAACCTTATGCTGAGCACTTGTTGGCTGCTTTTCCTTCACTCTGCGGTCCAACTCATCCCAAACCATCTCAATTGGGTTGAGGTTGGGTGATTGTGGAGGCCAGGTCATTGATGCAGCACTCCATCACTCTCCTTCTTATTCAAATAGCCCTTACACAGCCTGGAGGTGTGTTGGGTCATTGTCCTGTTGAAAAACAAATGATAGTCCCAATTAGCTCAAACCAGATGGGTTGGCGTATCGCTGCAGAATGCTGTCGTAGCCATGCTGGTTAAGTGTGCCTTGAATTCTAAATAAATCATCAACAGTGTCACCAGCAAAGCACCATCACACCACCTCCTCCATTCTTCACGGTGGAAACCACACATGCAGAAATCATCCGTTCACATACTCTGCGTCTCACAAAGACATGGCGGTTGGAACCACAAATCTAAAATTTGGACACATCAGACCAAAGGACAGAATTTCCACCGGTCTAATGTCCATTGCTCGTGTTTCTTGGCCCAAGCAAGTCTCTTCTTATTATTGGTGTCCTTTAGTAGTTTTTGTTGCAGCAATTCGACCATGAAGGCCTGATTCACGCAGTCTCCTCTGAACAGTTGGATGTTGATGTCTGTTACTTGAACTATGTGAAGCACTTATTTGCGCTACAATTTCTGAGGCTGGTAACTAATGAACTTATCCTCTGTAGCAGAGGTAACTCTGGGTCTTCCTTTCCTGTGGCGGTCCTCATGAGAGCCAATTTCATCAGAGTGCTTGATGGTTTTTGCGACTGCACTTGAAGAAACTTTAAAAGTTCTAGAAATGTTCCGTATTGACTGACCTTCATGTCTTAAAAGTAATGATGGACTGTCGTTTCTCTTTGCTTATTTGAGCTGTTCTTGCCATAATATGGACTTGTTCTTTTACAAAATAGGGCTGTCTTCTGTATACCCCCCTACCTTGTCACAACACAACTGATTGGCTCAAACGCATTAAGAAGGAAAGAAATTCCACAAATTAACTTTTAAGAAGGCACACCTGTTAATTGAAATGCATTCCAGATGACTACCTCATGAAGCTGGTTGAGAGAATGCCAACAGTGTACAAAGCTGTCATCAAGGCAAAGGGTGGCTGCTTTGAAGAATCTCAAATATAAAATTGTTGTTTATTTGTTTATCACTTTATTACGACATGATTCCATATGTTATTCAATAGTTTTGATGTCTATGCTATTATTCTACAATGTAGAAAAAATAAAGTACACCTTGGAATGAGTAGGTGTCCAAACTTTTGACAGGTACTGTAAGTATTCAGACCCTTTACTCTGTACTTTGTTGAAGCACCTTTGTTAGCGATTACAGCCTCAAGTCTTCTTGGGTATGACGCTACAAGCTTGCACACCTGTATTTGGGGAGTTTCTCCCATTCTTCTCTGAAGATCCTCTCCAGCTCTGTCAGGTTGGATGGGGAGCGTCACTGCACAGCTATTTTCAAGTCTCTCCAGAGATGTTCGATCAGGTTTAAGTCCGGACTCTGGCTGGGCCACTCAAGGACATTGAGACTTGTCCCGAAGCCAATCCTGCGTTGTCTTGGCTGTGTGCTTAGGGTCGTTGTCCTGTTGGAAGGTGAACCTTCGCCCCAGTCTGAGGTCCTGAGCACTCTGGAGCAGGTTTTCATCAAGGATCTCTCTGTACTTTGCTCCATTCATTGTTCCCTCGATCCTGACTAGTCCCCACAGCATGATGCTGACACCACCATGCTTCACCATAGGGATGGTGCCAGGTTTCCTTCAGACGTGATGCTTGGCATTCAGGCCAAAGAGTTCAATTCATTCAGACCAGAGAATCTTGTTTGGTCTGAGAGTCCTTTAGGTGCCTTTTGGCAAACTAAGCGAGCTGTCATATCTCTTTTACTGAGGAGTTGCATCCATCTGGTCAGTCTACCATAAAGGCCAAATTGGTGGAGTGCTGCAGAGAGGGTTGTCCTTCTGGAAGGTTCTCCCATCTCCACAGAGGAACTCTGGAGCTATGTCAGATTGATCATCGGGTTCTTGGTTACCTCCCTGACCAAAGCCCTTCGCCCCCGATTGCTCAGTTTGGCCGGGCGGCCAGCTCTAGGAAGAGTCTTGGTGGTCTTCCATTTAAGAATGGTGGCCAATGTGTTCTTGGGGACCTTCAATGCTGCAGAAATGTTTTGTTACCCTTCCCCAGATCTGTGCCTCGACACAATCCTGTCTCGGAGCTATACGGACAATTCCTTCGACCTCATGGCTTGGTTTTTGCTCTGACATGCACTGTCAACTGTGGGACGTTATATAGACAGGTGTGACTCCCGAGTGGCGCGGTGGTCTAAGGCACTGCATCGCAGTGCTAGCTGTGCCACTAGAGATCCTGGTTCGAGTCCAGGCTCTGTCGCAGCCGGCCGCAACCAGGAGACCCATGGGCGGCGCACAATTGGTCCAGCGTCGTCCAAGGTAGGGGAGGGTTTGGCCGGCAGGGATGTGGGTTCGTTTCCCACGTGGGGCCAGTATGAAAAAAACGAACACAAAAAAACGTATGCATTCACTAACTGTAAGTCGCTCTGGATAAGAGCGTCTGCTAAATGACTGAAATGTAAATGTGTGTGCCTTTCCAAATCATTACATTTACATTTACATTTTAGTCATTTAGCAGACGCTCTTATCCAGAGCGACTTACAGTTAGTGAATACATATTTTTTTATACTGGTCCCCCGTGGGAATCGAACCCACAACCCTGGCGTTGCAAACGCCATGCTCTATCAACTGAGCTACATCCCTGCCGGCCATTCCCTCCCCTACCCTGGACGACGCTGGGCCAATTGTGCGCCGCCCATGAGTCTCCCGGTCGCGGCCGCCTCCGACAGAGCCTGGATTCGAACCAGGATCTCTAGTGGCACAGTTAGCACTGCGATGCAGTGCCTTAGACCACTGCGCCACTCAGGAGTATATCATGTCCAATCAAGTTGTAGAAACATCTCAAGGATGATCAATATAAACAGGACGCACATGAGCTCAATTTCGCGTCTCATTGCAAAGGGTCTGAATACTTATGTAAATAAGGTATGTTTTTAAATATTTTTATACATTAGCAAAAATGTATAACCTGTTTTTGCTTTGTCATGGGGTATTGTGTGTAGATTGAGGACCTTTTTAGAATAAGGCTGTAACGTTACAAAATTTGGAAAAAGTCAAGTGGTCTGAATACTTTCCGAATGCACTGTGTATGGTTAAAAAGTTAGACGATTTTCTATGAGAATTTAGCATGCTTAGAGTGAATGGAATATCATCACAGGCATGATCAAATAGTGGTCACTGCTCAATAGAACTCTGTGGCGCTGCTCCGCGGCAGAACAGGGTTAACTTCGAACGTCAACTAACTAGTTGCTGCATATTTGTGAGTGAAGACATGGGATTTTTCTAAATGAAATCTGCTGAATACAAAACTAAATAGGGACTAAATATATATTTACTTACAAAGCTGACAGAATTTCAATATCCACCCTCCACAAAGACAATATTTTGTTTTCATTACATATTTCTGAGTCTTTCCCTTTAAATCGCCATAGAAACGGCCCCTCAACATAGATCGATCGCCAATATAGGCAATGAAAGTCCAGGATCTGGAGGTGAAAATGACAAAGGTATCAAGTTGATTTTGATTGGTCCAACCAGTTGAAACACCTCCAAATGTTACCACCTCACAACACCAAATATGGAAGAGATACAACCAAGAGCGGTGCATTCTAAACTAGAAATGGTCACAGCCAATTAATGATCTTATTTCATCAACACTGTTAAGTAGAAATATATTAAGGTTATAATATTGTAAAGAACAATCCTAATGATTAATCGTATGTAATTTATAATGACATGGGGCAAAGAAACCTATGTTTTGACATTAATTTCGTATCACCCTCTTGAATTGCACCGTTTTTCTCTACATTGTAAAGCAGTGAGTGAACGCCCTATACTTTAATATTATAGAAACTATGCTAATAATAATAATCAGGATGTTTCCAATTGGGTAAATGCAGATGGACAAGCCCCATGTTTCAGCCTACCGGTAGGCTTATGTATTTATAGCCATTATTTTACGTCATCAAGCACAGTCTTTTATCCACAACAAAGACAGTCTGATGGAAACACAACTCTGGTGGGGAATGCAAAAACCCCCCAAAAAGTTGTAAATTGCATGGCAACCTAGCTAGTGATACTCTATATAATGACGAGATCGTCTTGTCTCTGCCCTAACAATGGGAGTCGTTGGCGGAAAGGCAGGCGAAAGGAGGCGAGATCAGGAGGGAACATTCTAGCCAATGAGAGGGCAGATAACGCGTGTGAACAACAGACAACTACAATATAAAATATTTTTTCTCAAATTTGGGGAGATACCACGTGCGTCCACTTATACCAGTACATTCGTAACGAACTAAACATTACGAAACTTTTCTATTCGATCAAATACGCCTCACTTAGCAACTTAGCATTCACATGTTTCGTTGACCAAATCCGACACTCTCATAGACCTCCATTAAAAAAAATCCCCAATTGGTCTGCTTATCGCTGTATTCTGGCGTGGACAGATTGATGGGAGTGGAGCCTCTCGCTTTACCTCGTCCTCTCAGAATGTATCACGCAATTTAGGTGTGTGCCTCAGCTTTTGCATTGCTGGTCGCCAGCAACGATGGTGGCGTACCAAAACGACCATTTTATGTGAGTTTATTGAACATGGCTGCCTCAATGCAATCATTGGCACTACATGGGTTGAATTCAGGCATGCCATGCTCATTACAATCACACTCTGGCATTACACCCCTTTCTTGTTAGAAATTTAGTTTTTTCCCATGACATCATTATAAATAGCAAATGTATGCAACGTGACATGTATCATGAAGTATTGACATTGAACATTTTCCTCCAGAGACCTCTCCAACAGAGACAATGGCCCAGAGGGCATGGAGCCAGATGGCATCATTGAGGTAAGTGGTGTGTGTGTCAGGCTACACTTTGTCAAAAGTTGGATAAAGGACAGGTTGCATTGTTGAATATTTGAATGGCAGGTAGTCCAATGGGATGGAAGAAGAGATGCAAGTATCTCACACCCACAATCAGGGTCTTGCATGGTTTTCTGTCTCCGCTGGCTGTAAAACAGTACTGGGGTTTGTGTTGGGGTGCTATTTAAACTGACCGTGCTCAACGTTATTTTTTCTCTCCACAGAGTAACTGGAATGAGATCGTGGACAGCTTCGATGAGATGGCCCTGCGTGAGACACTTCTGAGAGGAATCTATGCCTATGGTTTTGAGAAACCGTCTGCCATTCAGCAGAGGGCCATCCTCCCTTGTATCAAGGGTAAGTACAAGCTTCCTAAAATATAAACTCGCACACACACAGGATATAACCTCTGCAAGTTGTTTATTTTGTTCACGTTTCAGTCAGACCGTTTTCCAGATGGGTAAAAGCTAAGGTTCCAAATGCCTATTATGTGTTGATTTTTGAACATTGCTTTTTGCTTCAAGACGATCTAGCCTAAGTTGTCGCTGACTGAAGTTGCATGAGTTTCTATACTTACATACTTACTTAATCCTCTTAATTCCTATGTAGAACATAAGGTTTTCTTGAGAGATCATACTATACTGGCTTTTATTTATTCCAGAGTATCCTACCCGTCAGGTTTGGAGACGTTGTCAATCATGCCTTTCATTTTTGTATTATTTTCATGCAAGTTAATGATTAAGCTTGCACGTTTCCTAAGCTTCAAAACAGTGTGACCCAAATGCCTTTCAAGCTTATCCTTGGCCTTAGTAACTAGGAACCAAATTGGATGAAACGGGGAGGGACCTAACTGAATTTGTTCAATAAGAAACGCTTGTTTTTGTTTTCTGTTGCAAAATGTTTTGCTACGGTGTGAACAAATGAATACGACCCTTCATTCCCCACCAGGTTATGACGTCATTGCACAGGCCCAGTCCGGCACAGGGAAGACTGCCACGTTCGCCATCTCCATCCTCCAGCAGATTGATATCGAGCTGAAGGGCACCCAGGCCTTGGTCCTTGCTCCTACCCGAGAGCTGGCTCAGCAGGCAGGTTGCACAAACATTAAATTGCCCTAAAAACAGTCTACTGTAAATGCAACTCCTGTACCCTTTACACAGTCGTAACGATGCTGTACGATGCTGCCTCTGGTATTTTAATATCACATGGTCCTTTCCAGTACGGTTCTAGCAACTATAGTGGATGAGTGACCAGACCAGCACAGTACAGCTTGGCTCGGCTCTGCTCCATAGTGTGAATCAAACCATGTACTATAATGTGCCACCCCTGTCTCTGGGCAAGGCAGTGTCTTTGAGTGGCACTGAGTATTAAATCTGTCAGGGGGAGAGAGACAAAGCCATATTCATCCCAGCCGACTCTGTGCAGTGAGCAACAGGCTGGTTCATGCTATGGGCACAAACTCATAATTGAGTTACAAAAATCGGATTCCTTATGAATATTGTTGCTTGGCAAAGTAATCCAAATTTGTACGAAAAAGCTCAAAGTATCTTGAACATGGAATTACCTTGACTAAGAACATATGGAATATGATTGTAATGCGGGTCTTCATGAGTATTGTGTGCATGTAAATGTAGTAAAATTTGTGCCAGAGGGAAAGCTTTCCCTTGCCACTGTGCTTCTGCTTCCTCTCTGGGGTCTAGGCTGGGTTACTCTAAAAGCACTTTGTGACAACTGCTGATGTGAAAAAGGGCTTTAATAAATTGTATTGACTCCCTCTCCTCTTCAATAGATCCAGAAGGTGATCCTGGCCCTCGGTGACTACATGGGAGCCTCCTGCCATGCCTGTATTGGCGGCACAAACGTCCGCAACGAGGTGACTAAGCTCCAGGCTGAGGCTCCCAACATAGTGGTTGGAACGCCAGGCCGCGTGTTTGACATGTTGAACCGCAAGTTCCTCTGTGAGTAATGACCTCAGGGTCTTTGTTTATGTTTGTGTTATTCTGCATTTATAAAAAAAAATATTGTGACCAGATTTGTATAGATAGGTTGGAACCGGTTCGGGGAACAGAACCGGAAATTGACTAAATGTTTAGAGGAACAGAATCAGAACCTGATGTGGAAAATGATCACTATACTTATTAAATATCTTCCAGAGTTTTTGTAGAATCAAGATAGACTTTATTACATAGCGCAACAAAAGCCGAGCTGGTCTGCAGAGCAACTCTCGTCTACCTCTCAGCTCTCCGTTTATATAGTCATATTCACATACATCTTAGCTTATAGCCCCTCCCTCTTGGGTTCCCCCACCACCATCCTCAGTTTCCCCCTCTCGACCGCTCCGCCCACTTCCTTAGTCTATGATAGCGGCTAAATTTGACTTTTATTCAGTTTAGAATCAATAGTAGTACCATCAATCAAGCCCTTGCCATGCACAAATAATCATGTTCAGTTTAAACTGTTCAACCCTGGCTTGACCTGAAGATTGATTGTTGGACATGACAGGTCCACACTCAATCTCTCAAACATACCCAAATCCCAACTCCCCTCTCCCGTCATGCTGCAATTACTCATGATTAGTCTAAACTCTGTTCAACTCTGGCTCCGCTCTCAGGACTTTGTTTGAATAGATAGGCAAAAGGCAACAGTCTGGTTTCAGTCTCTAATAAGGTAGGACAACCATGGATTAGGTAAGAGCTAGGAATTTGACCCGAGGTCAGATCCCCATTTCACACACACCCAGTGAAAGGAACCAATTAAGTTATTGCCTAGCAACAGAGAATTCTGACTATATGTTCGTCATGTGGGGCGGCAGGTAGCTTAGTGGGTAAGAGCGTTGTGCCAGTAACCGAAACGTCGCTGGTTCTAATCCCCGAGCCGACTAGGTGAAAAATCTGTCGATGTGCCCTTGAGCAAGGCACTTAATCCTAATTGCTCCTGTAAGTCGCTCTGGATAAGAGCGTCTGCTAAATGACTAAAAATAAAAATTAAAAAAAAAAGAAAAATTGTCTGTGATTAACTTTGTTTAGCAATAGTTTACTGAAAAATCTTCATCATGGGACTATCATTGGTCCCAAATCCTTACAAAAGTATATAATGATTAATATAGTAACTAACATAAGAATAATTGTTTATGCTATCAAGCACAATCCTTGCATTTAAGGTTATAGTTTTGAAACATTAAGATTCAAAGTTTCTACTCAACAAAACCATATACGTGTATCCTAACACATTAAAACTAACGTAGCGTTGTTTTAACCATAATATCTAGGGCGTGGTCCTCTGTAGCTCAGCTGGTAGAGCACGGCGCTTGTAACGCCAAGGTAGTGGGTTCGATCCCCGGGACCACCCATACACAAAAAAAATGTATGCACGCATGACTGTAAGTCGCTTTGGATAAAAGCGTCTGCTAAATGGCATATTATTATTATTATTATTATTATTATTATCATGTTGAGAGTAGTGTCAACATCTTTAGCTCACATAACGTCTTTACCCATATCACAAGTAGTATATCAATCTAAAGAATCAATATCAATATGTAATCCATTAATTGCAGTGTTAACATCTTTAGTTATTAACATATTAATAACTTATTCAAATCAATCAGTCATCTTACAACTCATAATCATAATCAAATGAATTACCCAAAACAAATTTAGAATGACAATTCTTAGTTATTCACCTTGGTTCCATCACTCAAAGTTAAAACCCTCACCTTAGCACCCATTGACACTGGCAGTTTATATTAACATACAGTATAATTATCCATAATTCAGTATCTCAATGCATTCTTAGTCTAAATTACTATACATTTAGCACTGTGTATACCTTCTTAACCAACCTAATACCCCAAATAACAATCCCTTCCTCCACCGGCACTCAATCTTCTGGCGTGTCTTCATTATGTTCTTCAGATAGGCCCCGTGTAGCTCAGTTGGTAGAGCATGGCATTTGCAATGCCAGGGTGTGGGTTTGATTCCCACGGGGGGCCAGTATGAAAAATTTATGCACTCACTAACTGTAAGTCGCTCTGGATAAGAGCGTCTGCTAAATGACTCAAATGTAAATGTAAGATAGCTTCATAGTTCAGCTTGGATTGCCCATGACAATGTCCCAATTCCAATGTCACACCTGAGCCGCCCCACCTCTACCCCCATTCTGTTTTGTCCATTTGCCAACCAGTATACCAGCACCATGAGAGATGTTATATTTGAACAGATCTCTTTTCATTCCCACTCCACATGGACTCCTGTCATACTCTTGAGAGAAAATGCATAAGAGAAAAGGCAGTTGATTGCTTCGATTGGATGCTGGTTCTGATTTAGGTCTCTTGGTAGAAGTGGCGCTGGACAGGAACGTCTTCAACGCCTTTGTTGCTCCTCTTCAGCCGGGTAGAGGGTTTTTATTGAGGTTCACACCGTTCTGGACAGAATTTTCTCTGCTATGCATTAAGACACCATCCGTAGTAACCTCGAGAAAGGGCAGATCATAACAGTTTAGTTGAGTTCATTTCCAATCCAAAACATCCCTATAAGCATTGACTATATGACTAATTATTATGTTTCACCAATTATTCTTAAAACCAATTTCTAATACTTGACCCTGCTGCCTGATAGATTTTTCTTTGAGGGGTCCCTGCATTCCAAAGGCTATCTGTATAAATGCCACCGTTTCACATTCTCCCTTGAATTCTCCCAAATTATATAACCCAATTGTTTTATTGTAACACTCATATTTTTGCTCATAGTCTATTTGATATTTCTCTGGTGTTTCCCTTTTCCTTGTCTCTATTCTAACATCTCATTGCTTACACTTCTCTCCCCATTGGTTGATTATAAAATTGTTTATATTTAGGATTTCCTAAATATGACAAACATTCTGCTGGGCAATATGGTCTTTCCGAGTTCCTTAGATAACAGAAGTTGTGGTTGAACATAGCACAGTCCTGGTAACTGTGGGATTTGGAAATACTGTTAATTATTTTAAAGGAGATGAAGTGCATACTAGATAGTTTTAATGTAGTATATTGTGCCCATCTATACCAGTCATTGTTTAGCGCCTCCTTCCATTCCCTTTCTTCTGCTTTTGGTGGGGCTCTAACATGTAAAGGGTTTAGTGCACTTTCCCAAGGAATAACTACTTCAACAACCCTGCCCCCTGGAAATGTAGCACTTATAAGTACTACATCAAATTGTTTATCTAAGTCTTGGGCTTCTACCCTTATGTCTATGATCCACCTGTCTTTTTCTTTTATTATCTTAAGGTCACAGTTACCCCATGTGATTTCCCCATACTCCTTGTGCTGGTTCCTCCCACACCAATAACCATTTGACCCTCGTACTTTAATAGGGATTCATTTCTGTATTTTAGTTAAGGTTCCTGCTTGTGCAGGAATATACATTTTAATCCTGTCTGTTTCTATTCTCTGTCTTGATCTTTTGCTCTTCACTATTGTCAGTATGCCATTCCCCTTATTCTTAGGGGGACTAGTCAAGGGCAGAGAAATCAATGATGGGGATATCTGGTGCGTCTTGGGATGTCTGGAATATCTTGGAGGTCTGGGATCTCTTGGAGGTCTTGTAGGTCTGGGAGAATCAGCAAGAGCACGTAGCTCATCAGTAGCATTCCCAATGCCATTCTCCCCCATCTCATGATTCTGGCCAGCTCCATCATCCTCAGCTCCCTCATCTCTATGTAGTCGGTTACCTCGTGGTACTCTGGTACAGTGGATTAGATGATACCAGGTCGATCTCCCCTCTATCCGTACAGCCGTTGGTGTAGCCTGGATGACGATGTATGGTCCCTTTAACTCTTAACCTTCTTCCGTCACTAGGGTCTCTGGATCAGCCAGAGTCCCTCTCAATCCATTGACATTGGTCTTGGGAGAGTTTCCTTCTGGCAGTTTACCAATAGGGAAGCTCGGAGTCAACGCTGCAGACACATAAACACAGACAGACACAAAATAAAACTATGCTACCCAACGGCGGGGCCATCTTCCTCTCCTGGGGTTGGAACACTCCTACGGTGGGACACATGGATCTAAGTATCTGTCTCTGCCACTTTCACCGTCATTGAGGAACACCTGGTACAGGCCCCTCCACCTAGGGTCTTTCCAGCTCTTTCTTCTGTAGTCTTTTACCGCCACATAGTCTCCAGGGTGCAGAAAATGCTCAGATTCTCCTGCTCAGTTGGGCAGAGTTGCCTTCACCCACGGGAAGAAAGTCTTAAGAACATTGTTAGGTTAGGTGAGACACATTATGCTACTGTGCACCTCCTTGCAGCTTGTTGCAGTCCACTCGTTTCATAGACAGGCCTCCTCTACTCCCTGCCTCCTACCACAACTATACTTTCACATTAAACATTTAACCTAACCCATAACACATTAATTACTACTGCTCATACACTTAATACAATTTGCATATTTTACCAAAAAGCCCCATGCGACCAGTACTCCCCCCCCCCCCCCCCTTTGGACACATGACTCCCATCGTGATTCATGCGTTCAAAAAACAAAACAACAACTTTGCCTGTTAAACCAAAATAATAAATGAAATTAAAATGACAACCTTTGATAATATCTTAACTTAATTGTATCCCATAAGATTACTCAAGGAATAGCAAAATTAGGTAGTGACAGGTATCCCTCATTCAGGACTCGCTCTCTCACTCTGTCTTTGTCATGGTTGGAATAATATATAGGACTATTGCCAAATTGTAAACTTCTTCATAATTATCAGTGTTATAAATGACCCTCAACTCGGTAGAATAAATTACCTTAAACTCATCATCCTATGTCACTCGGTTTTTCAGTGTGGGTGATCAAATCACACTAGAAAGTCAGGACAAAGGTCAGAGGTAATTCAAACCCTTCAAAGAAGTGTTTCATTCTATAGTAGACTTATTTACATTTACATTTACATTTTAGTCATTTAGCAGACGCTCTTATCCAGAGCGACTTACAGGAGCAATTAGGGTTAAGTGCCTTGCTCAAGGGCACATTAACGTCATTTAGCAGACGCTCTTAGCCAGAGCGACTCGCAAATTGGTGCGTTCACCCTATAGCCAGTGGGATAACCACTTTACAATTTGGGGGGGGGGGGGGGGTTAGAAGGAACACTTTATCCTATCCCAGGTATTCCTTAAAGAGGTGGGGTTTCAAATGTCTCCGGAAGGTGGTGAGTGACTCCGCTGTCCTGGCGTCGTGAGGGAGCTTGTTCCACCATTGGGGTGCCAGAGCAGCGAACAGTTTTGACTGGGCTGAGCGGGAGCTATGCTTCCGCAGAGGAAGGGGAGCCAGCAGGCCAGAGGTGGATGAACGCAATGCCCTCGTTTGGGTGTAGGGACTGATCAGAGCCTGAAGGTACAGAGGTGCCGTTCCCCTCACTGCTCCATAGGCAAGCACCATGGTCTTGTAGCGGATGCGAGCTTCAACTGGAAGCCAGTGGAGTGTGCGGAGGAGGGGGGTGACGTGAGAGAACTTGGGAAGGTTGAACACCAGACGGGCTGCGGCATTCTGGATGAGTTGTAGGGGTTTAATGGCACAGGCAGGGAGGCCAGCCAACAGCGAGTTGCAGTAGTCCAGACGGGACTACTGCAACAGTCAAAACATTTCATACATTTTTGTGTACAGTTAGTCCTTAGTACAGCTCTTTTCAAAAGAACTCACATGTATTTACTTAACTCACTCAGTAAATAAAACCTCAGAAAATTCCATGTGTGTGCCCCTTTAAGATATATAGTTTCCAACCCGTGAAAATAACCCTAAAATAAAACCCCTATACAACTAACATTTATTAATAAGTGTGTAGTTTGTGGTTATTTGAAAAGCATATAGTAAAACAACAAACAAAAATGGCCAGGCCTTATCTATAGTCTCGGGAAACATTTCAAAGAAAGAGAAAATCACTCCCCCTATTTTCCTGGAAGAAAAAGTGCACATTCCGTTAGTTTCCATTTTAATACCTCTTAACCAGTCCAAACAATTCAAATTCGAAAATCCTCACTTTCTATTGAATTTACCAGTCCACATCTCCGCCTCCACCAACTCAGAAAACCCTCAAGACCATCACTCGTGACTCCTCCCCTCCCCTGTCAATTCCACAATCCAGTGCACATAAAACGATATAAAGTCTCATGAGATTAAAACCCCTAGGCTTTTCCAACATGCTTCATGACTTCGAAAACTCAAATCCCCAAATATGCTATCTCTTGCCTTGTTGGTTGTACTTTCCTACATGCCTTGTGGCCCCTCTCTACCAAAATAGTTTACTAATGTGATGATGTTCTGGCCTATCAGTGTTCCCATCTTCCACGCCCATAACAATTCACTACAACACAAAACTCCTCAAATTCACACCTTTCAGCGATTGTTTAAATGCAGCGTGATACAACGTTTGCCTATTTTTAACCATCATTCGTGCTGTCGCCCATATACAGTCGTGGTCAAAAGTTTTGAGAATGACACAAATACTAATTTTCACAAAGTCTGCTGCCTCAGTTTTGATGATGGCAATTTGCATATACTCCAGGATGTCATGAAGAGTGATCAGATGAATTGCAATTAATTGCAAAGTCCCTCTTTGCCATGAAAATGAACTTAATCCCCCCCAAAAACATTTCCACTGCATTTCAGCCCTGCCACAAAAGGACCAGCTGACATCATGTAAGTGATTCTCTCGTTAACACAGGTGAGAGTGTTGACGGGGACAAGGCTGGAGATCACTCTGTCATGCTGATTGAGTTAGTATAACAGACTGGAAGCTTTAAAAGGCTTGAAATCATTGTTCTTCCTCTGTTAACCATGGTTACCTGCAAGGAAACACGTGCCGTCATCATTGCTTTGCACAAAAAGGGCTTCACAGGCAAGGATATTGCTGCTAGTAAGACTGCACCTAAATCAACCATTTATCGGATCATAAAGAACTTCAAGGAGAGAGGTTCAATTGTTGTGAAGAAGGTGTCAGGGCGCCCAAGAAAGTCCAGCAAGCGCCAGGACCGTCTCCTAACGTTGATTCAGCTGCGGGATCGGGGCACCACCAGTGCAGAGCTTGCTCAGGAATTGCAGCAGGCAGGTGTGAGTGCATCTGCACGCACAGTGAGGCGAAGACTTTTGGAGGATGTATTGGTGTCAAGAAGAGCAGCAAAGAAGCCACTTCTCTCCAGGAAAAACATCAGGGACAGACTGATATTCTGCAAAAGGTACAGGGATTGGACTGCTGAGGACTGGGGTAAAGTCATTTTCTCTTGGGCATCCGGAAAACACCTTGTCCGGAGAAGGCAAGGTGAGCGTTACATCAGTCTTGTGTCATGCCAACAGTATAGCATCCTGAGACCATTCATGTGTGGGGTTGCTTCTCAGCCAAGGGAGTGGGCTCACTCACAATTTTGCCTAAGAACACAGCCATGAATAAAGAATGGTACCAACACATCCTCCGAGAGCAACTTCTCCCAACCATCCAAGAACAGTTTGTTGACGACCAATTCATTTTCCAGCATGATGGAGCACCTTGCCATAAGGCAAAAGTGATAACTAAGTGGCTCGGGGAACAAAACATCGACATTTTGGGTCCATTGCCAGGAAACTCCCCAGACCTTAATCCCATTGAGAACTTGTGGTCGATCCTCAAGAGGCGGGTGGACAAACAAAAACCCACAAATTCTGACAAACTCCAAACATTGATTATGCAAGAATGGGCTGCCATCAGTCAGGGTGTGGCCCAGAAGTTAATTGACAGCATGCCAGGGCGGATTGCAGAGGTCTTGAAAAAGAAGGGTCAACACTGCAAATATTGACTCTTTGCATAAACTTAATGTAATTGTCAATAAAAGCCTTTGACACTTATGGAATGCTTGTAATTATACTTCAGTATACCATAGTAACATCTGACAAAAATATCTCATAACACTGAAGCAGCGAACTTTGTGAAGACCAATACTTGTCATTCTCAAAACTGCCAATTTACATGTCACCTTTCAGAATCCATTATCTTTGACTCTCAGAAAGATTCTCTAACCCCACTAAATGTAATACTTTTCCCTGTCGCAAATACAGTCAATTTCTCAGTGTAAGGAATCAGTGATTTTTGAGCCCAAGCATCTATTAAAATGTTGTTTGAGACGTGGTTTCCTACATCTCCCTTAACCTTCATACTGTAGGGGACTTCCATCAATCCTAGAAGAAAGACTCCCACTCAAGACACATCAGATATTACCACGTTTCATTAAGTGGAATATACGCCTATAAAATAACAAAACCACAACCACTTTCCGGTAATCTAATCATTTCAACCTGTTGCATTGATTTAGTAAAAATATAAATTTGTTGTTTAATCAATCCAGAACCCTACCATTTTAATAGTCAAAATTACCTGCCATCCATTTTCAACGTACCAGAAATAGATTTACCATTTTAGAATTCAGTAACTGTTTGCATAAATCACAGGTGTCACTCAAACTATAGCACTGAGTAGTAATAATTAGAATTTATCAAATAACCTTTCCAATTCACCTATTCAGACCTCTGCTTCAAATATCCCATTGCGTATCTTACATCTCTATATCGCCCAGCGAGCACAACTCTTTCACCCGCACACTAAATCATGACATTAGTAAAGTCTATCCACAAACCACCAATAACTCATAACATATTTGCATTCACATTACTGGAAGGCATTATTTTAATTCCAGTCTACTCAAACACTTCCACATTTCCCAATGAACCTACTTTCCTTTTAACCCAGAAAACCCTCTACAATCTCTATCATCCTCTACCTCTGTCTTTCCATTTAACGCTACTTTAGCAGGTGAACAGTTATTTTTAAATTATAGTCAAAACAAACAAAACATCTCTTCACAGAGAAGCCACTAATTACTATGTTACCCCAGACCGCCATGAGTTGGTAGGACAATCCCTTTCAGATAATCCAATCATTGCAACCAGTGATCCGGGTCAACAACATCAATGTACCAGATCTGCTTCCGTCCCTCTCCTCGCCCCAACCTGGGCTCGAACCAGGCACCCTCTGAACACATCAACAACTTCATCCCACGAAACATCGTTACCTATCGCTCCACAAAAGCCGCGGCCCTTGCAGAGCAAGAGAAACAACTACTTCCAGGTCTCAGAGCGAGTGACCTCATCGATGGAACGCTACTAGCGCGCACCACTAACTAGCTAGCCATTTCACACCGGTTACACTCACCCCCCTTTGACCACCTCCTTTTCCGCAGCAAACAGTGATCCGGCTACACCAAACTTAACCCATTACGTCCCTTACAGCTCGCTCGAGTTCAGCGAGCCCCAGTCGCTAACATCCGCAGACTAAAACATGGAAACGCTTCTATTCTTACTAGTAGATAACAAATAAAACCCATTCTCAACCAACGTTCTGCGTTTACCTCTATCATAAGGTCAAAAACTACTTTCACAATACTAGATTGCTGTTTTAGCCTTATGTTTGGTTCAGTGTCTTTGTTAGGATGTAGGCCACCAATATTTTCCTTACTGTTTTCCTCATGCCTAATTGTTCTCTTATTATTGTCTCTCATTTTGGACTAACCCACTGAACTTCTCTCAATACTTATAGACACTTCTAATTGAGGATCTCCTATTGTTTTCCTGTCTGCCCTTTCCCTCTTATGCCCTGAGTTCTTCCCCTAATGTCAGCCAAGGTTCAACCTGTTAATCTATTGGGATTATTAGAAAATACAACCTTTTGTCCAATTCCTTTCTACTATCCCAGCCCAATCTATATATGGCCACTCTTCTCTTGCTTCTGCTAAATGTGTTATTTCTGTTAGCGATCTCAGCTAAAAGTTTTTATATTCCTCAGTTAATGGTATCTTTCTCCCTAATATATCTTCATACTCTGCTTCTTTCCAAAAATGTGTTTTTATCCCTTGTGCTCCTCCTTTTAATATTATTTTATTCCCCTTGTCCCCGTGCTCCACTTCCCATTAAGATAACACACTCACTTCCCTGTGCTTCGGTATTATATTCTTATTTTTCTTTGTTCCCTTATCTTATCTCAAACCTATAAAATACCCCCCTCACTCTCCTGTCCTTAGGTATTTTCCCAGTGGTCTATTCAGTCTTAGGTCACTAAACCACCCCCTATTGTCCCCTAATAATATTCACGTTACTATTTTCTCAAATATTCCTACGTTTCCATTTTTGTACTCTACTTTAGGTATCCCTAATATATCTTCTTATACCTTCTTTTCCTTTGTTATATTCAAATCATGGCCACGGCTCTATTGTAATTGCCAGTCCGCTATTACATTTATGTAACTGTCCTTTCTGATTAGGCTATAGTTAATAAAACAAACACTTGCTATAGTTGACAAGCATACATTCAGTTCATATCCATATTTAATTCAACATTCCAAATTACAACCCTATTCATAGTAGTTTAAACTATCAAATCATTAGGCAACGCAAAAACGGACTACCTCGAAATCATCCCTCTATTCCTGTTGAATTAATGAGTCTTTCAATTTGAAACAAGCAAGCTGCTAAATCGTCCAGTCTAACATCGCAAAATCAAACACTGGCTGTTCTATCAATCTAAGCAACCCATAACCATAGTCTAACTACAATCAGAAAACCTAGATTTTAGTCAGTAATGCAGAACCTATGCTTTATTGAAATTACAAGTAAATCCTCCTTTATTCCAATTATAATGGTCTGTAGTCTTAACATCTGGCACATAATGAAATTCCTTCACTTCCTCACCATAGCTCCTCAATGATAATTTGTTTAATGGAAACCCTAAATTGGCTTTGTACCATGTTATAAGTCTACGTCTATAAATTCCAGTCCTTATGGGCAGTTTATTCCTTAAGCCTTATCTCTATCACATGATCCATGAACGGCACCAACTCCGAAAACTTTTATTTATCTTTTCCCACCTCTGACGTACGTCTACGTTTTGGGGTTAACATATTGTATACTAATAATATTCCAATTATGACATTTATCACATCTCTAGTAATCGCTTAAACAAACATAAAATGCATCATATTCACATAATCCTCATAGAATGTTAGAACTCCTAGGTACTCACATCAAACAAACCCTTCTTTGTTTAACGATTCTCAATCGACACAAATCTTCTTCTACAAACACCCTCCAGCGGAACCAAAAAACAGACTGTAGTTTCCAGAACACCGCCCTGCCTGTCATGGGATCCACCTTGCAAATACAGACTTTCCACAACTTTGTAAAACACCATTCCGCTCTTAATACCACTCCTTGATCTTCTATGACCTAAGCCTGTTATATATCGAAACTTATTATCCAAACTTACATTAAAACTAATTCCCATATTCACACAACTCTCAGATCACATTCACACAATACTATTTCCTAACACACTTAATCAATATTCGTATAATATTTTATTCTATCAAAGGGCCCAAATTTGGAACGTTAACCCTATCACATTTATTATTTTACTGTGGTCAATTTTACCATAATCCTACATCACTTCTAAATTTCCCAAATATAATGATACCCTAAAAGATTGGCCAAAATACAATGTCTAGACGTCACACAAACACACCGGTACCTGTGACCTGTTCCCCTAACAGGATTTCTCATACTCCTACTGGTAAAGACACACACACCTTCTGATCCCCTTCTGATCAGGACACACACACACCTTCTGATCCCTTTCTGATCAGGACACACACACACCTTCTGATCCCTTTCTGATCAGGAGACACACACACCTTCTGATCCCCTTCTGATCAGGACACACACACACCTTCTGATCCCCTTCTAATCAGGACACACACACACCTTCTGATCCCCTTCTGATCAGGACACACACACACCTTCTGATCCCCTTCTAATCAGGACACACACACACCTTCTGATCCCTTTCTGATCAGGACACACTCACACACACCGGTAACGATGAGCAGCCTCTTGTGCCGAAATGAATCGAACAGAATGGCCAGCAAGACAAACAAATGAATCAGACGAATTGAACAAATACATCAGATGAACAACTGAGTGAATTCGACAGATTGAATGCACGAATTGAGTCAGACCAGTGGACAAAGATGAAAGAGTTGCTTTCGCAAACCCAAGCAGGTCCAACAAACCAGTCTTGGACAAAACGAGTCAGATAAAACAATCGAACCACACAAATTGATCAAGCTGACCAAATGAGCAAGCTGAATGAGACAGATGAAACATACAACTTAATCACAATTGAATGACTCACAGCCGCTCAAGCAAACCATTCACCCACACGAGATGAGCAGACCTACTCTATTTAACACTTTCTGTATATTTTGAAGCCCTTGTGGCTATTTCACAACCGTTCACCTACTCTGGATGACCGGCGCTACTTCCAATTTATGGTGTTACCTACTCAGGATGACCTACTTTTTTTTACCCGATTGGCCCTATGTATTGCATCCCCTGGGCTGTATCCGCATGATTTTTTATTTAGTTACTGCCCACCTACTCTGGACGAGCAAAACTACTTTTTAAACTTCTTGTCTACTAGCCTGCGTCTCTGCTAACCTGCTTGTCTACTAGCCTGCCGGTCTGCTAGCTTGCGTGTCTGCTAGCCTGCCCGTCTACTAGCCTTCGTGTCTGCTAGCCTACTCGTCTGCTAGCCTGTGTGTCTGCTAGCCTGCTCGTCTGCTAGCCTGCTCAAACATCAATTGTCAACAACATTGCATGCATGCTTATTTATCATTCCAACAAAAACTTTTCCTAAATGTAGTCCTTAATACTGGAGAGATCCCTCTATTGTACCTTACCTTCAGATTCAGCTTGATCGAATCACACAATTTCTATGTTAAAAGTAAGAACGTCGCTTACCTCTATTAACAGTGGCCACTGTATTTTTGTGTGTGATCCGTCCAAACTTTCTCAGACGGTGTAGTAACCCCAATGGTCTATTTTTCCAGTCCCATCTGGGTCGCCAATATGATGTGGAAAATGATCACTATACTTATTAAATATCTTCCAGAGATTTTGTAGAATCAAGATAGACTTTATTACATAGAGCAACAAAAGCCGAGCTGGTCTGCAGAGCAACTCTCGTCTACCTCTCAGCTCTCCGTTTATATAGTCATATTCACATACATCTTAGCTTATAGCCCCTCCCTCTTGGGTTCCCCCACCACCATCCTCAGTTTCCCCCTCTCGACCGCTCCGCCCACTTCCTTAGTCTATGATAGCGGCTAAATTTGACTTTTATTCAGTTTAGAATCAATAGTAGTACCATCAATCAAGCCCTTGCCATGCACAAATAATCATGTTCAGTTTAAACTCTGTTCAACCCCGGCTCACCCTGACTTGACCTGAAGATTGATTGTTGGACATAACAGGTCCACACTCAATCTCTCAAACATACCCAAAACCCAACTCCTCTCTCCCCTCCCGTCATGCTGTAATTAGTCTAAACTCTGTTCAACTCTGGCTCCGCTCTCAGGACTTTGTTTGAGGAGATAGGCAAAAGGCAACAGTCTGGTTTCAGTCTCTGATAAGGTAGGACAGCCATGGATTAGGTAAGAGCAAGGAATTTGACCCGAGGTCAGATCCCCATTTCACAAATTAAGTTATTGCCTAGCAACAGAGAATTCTGACTATATCTTTGTCATGTCTGTGATTAACTTTGTTTATCCAATAGTTTACTGAAAAATCTTCATCAAACCGCGAATGAAAAGTGATCTATACTGTTCCAAACAGAATGGTTATTTTAAAAGCATGGGAACCGGTTCACCCTGTAGGTCTAAGGCCTTAGATTACAATATCAATCAATTTTCAATCAATTTTATTTTATATAGCCCTTCTTACATCAGCTAATATCTCGAAGTGCTGTACAGAAACCCAGCCTAAAACCCCAAACAGCTAGTAATGCAGGTGTAGAAGCACGGTGGCTAGGAAAAACTCCCTAGAAAGGCAAAACCTAGGAAGAAACCTAGAGAGGAACCAGGCTATGAGGGGTGGCCAGTCCTCTTCTGGCTGTGCCGGGTGGAGATTATAACAGAACCATGCCAAGATGTTCAAAAATGTTCATAAGTGACAAGCATGGTCAAATAATAATCAGGAATAAATCTCAGTTGGCTTTTCATAGCCGATCATTAGAGTTTAAAACAGCAGGTCTGGGACAGGTAGGGGTTCCATAACCGCAGGCAGAACAGTTTAAACTGGAATAGCAGCAAGGCCAGGCGGACTGGGGATAGCAAGGAGTCACCACGGCCGGTAGTCCCGACGTATGGTCCTAGGGCTCAGGTCTCTCAGTTGGCTTTTCATAGCCGATCATTTAGAGTTGAAAACAGCAGGTCTGGGACAGGTAGGGGTTTCGTAGCCGCAGGCAGAACAGTTGAAACTGGAATAGCAGCAAGGCCAGGCGGACTGGGGGCAGCAGGGTGTCATCATGCCCGGTAGTCCTGACGTATGGTCCTAGGGCTCAGGTTCTCAGAGAGAAAGAGAGAACGAGAGAATTAGAGAGAGCATACTTAAATTCACACAGGACACTGGATAAGACAGGAGAAGTACTCCAGGTATAACCAACTAACCCCAGCCCCCCGACACATAAACTACTGCAGCATAAATACTGGAGGCTGAGACAGGAGCGGTCCGGAGACACTGTGGCCCCATCCGAAGAAACCCCTACACATCTGGCACATTTTACAGCCCAGTACTGGCGTAGAGCAGAACAACCGACACCTTCTTGTTTGTGATAGTCTCCCCTTTCGATATTGGTGACATATTAGTTTGTAGCTCACATGGTTCAGGTTTTACAGTTTGTGGCGATTTTCTTGTCCGGATCCTCTCATGTAGGAAAAGGCTGCTTTGACAAGCCCCATATTATGGAATGGGTGCAAACCTTACATCGGTCTGTTTATTACATTTTTTGTTTACTGAACAGAGTATTGAGATTGGACTATTTTGTGTTCTGAACTAAGTGCTCATCTTCCCCCACAGCTGCTAAGTACATCAAGATGTTTGTCCTGGACGAAGCTGATGAGATGTTGAGCCGGGGTTTCAAGGACCAGATCTATGAGATTTTCCAGAAGCTTTGCACCAGCACACAGGTAAGAGGGCCACACACACACACATACACACACACACACACACACACACACACACACACACAGGTAAGGGGACAGACTGTTAAACAGTCCATTAGGATGCTATGATGACAAGATTGCGCCAACAGACACGGTCACCCTGTTTCTAGCTCCTAGACAACTTTGCAGTATTTCTTTTGGTGTTATTTCTTACATTATTTGCTCAGAATAAGATTGAATCGTACTACTCCGGCTCTGACGCTCGTCGGATGTGGCAGGGCTTGAAAACTATTACAGACTACAAAGGGAAGCACAGCCGCGAGCTGCCCAGTGACACAAGACTTCCAGACGAGATAAACCACTTCTATGCTCGCTTCGAGGCAAGCAACACTGAAGCATGCATGAGAGCACCAGCTGTTCCGGATGACTATGTGATCACGCTCTCCATAGCCGATGTGAGTAAGACTTTTAAGCAGGTCAACATTCACAAGGCCTTAGGGCCAGACGGATTACCAGGACGTGTACTCCGAGCATGTGCTGACCAACTTGCAAGTGTCTTCACTGACATTTTCAACATGTCCCTGACTGAGTCTGTAATACCAACATGTTTCAAGCAGACCACCATAGTCCCCGTGCCCAAGGACTCTAAGATAACCTGCCTAAATGACTACCGACCCGTAGCACTAACGTCTGTAGCCATGAAGTGCTTTGAAAGGCTGGTCATGACTCACATCAACACCATTATCCCAGAAACCCTAGACCCACTCCAATTTGCATACCGCCCCAACAGATCCACAGATGATGCAATCTCTATTGCACTCCACACTGCCCTTTCCCACCTGGACAAGAGGAACACCTACGTGAGAATGCTATTCATTGACTACAGCTCAGCATTCAACACCATAGTGCCCTCAAAGCTCATCACTAAGCTAAGGATCCTGGGACTAAACACCTCCCTCTGCAACTGGATCCTGGACTTCCTGACGGGCCGCCCCCAGGTGGTAAGGGTAGGTAACAACACATCTGCCACACTGATCCTCAACACGGGGGCCCCTCAGGGGTGCGTGCGCAGTCCCCTCCTGTACTCCCTGTTCACCTATGACTGCATGGCCAGGCACGACTCCAACACCATCATTAAGTTTGCCGACGACACAACAGTGGTAGGCCTGATCACCGACAACGATGAGACAGCCTATAGGGAGGAGGTCAGAGACCTGGCCGTGTGGTGCCAGGATAACAACCTCTCCCTCAACGTGACCAAGACAAAGGAGATGATTGTGGACTACAGGAAGAAAAAAAAAGGGGGACTGAGCACGCCCCCATTCTCATCGACGGGGCTGTAGTGGAACAGGTTGAGAGCTTCAAGTTCCTTGGTGTCCACATCACCAACAAACTATCATGGTCCAAACACACCAAGACAGTTGTGAAGAGGGCACGACAAAGCCTATTCCCCCTCAAGAGACTGAAAAGATTTGGCATGGGTCCTCAGATCCTCAAAAAATTCTACAGCTGCACCATCGAGAGCATCCTGACTGGTTGCATCACCGCCTGGTATGGCAACTGCTTGGCCTCTGACCGCAAGGCACTACAGAGGGTAGTGCGTATGGCCCAGTACATCACTGGGGCCAAGCTTCCTGCCATCCAGGACCCAGAGGAAGGCCCTCAAAATTGTAAAAGACTCCAGCCACCCTAGTCATAGACTGTTCTCTCTGCTACCGCACGGCAAGCGGTACCGGAGTGCCAAGTCTATGTCCAAAAGACTTCTCAACTGCTTCTACCCCCAAGTCATAAGACTCCTGAACAGCTAATCATGGCTATCCAGACTATTTGCACTGCCCCCCCCCACCCCATCTTTTTACGCTGCTGCTACTCTGTTAATTATTTATGCATAGTCACTTTAACTCTACCCACATGTACATATTACTTCAACTACCTCAACTAGCCGGTGCCCCCGCACATTGACTCTGCACCGGTACCCCCCTGTATATATAGCCTCCCTACTGTTATTTTATTTTACTTCTGCTCTTTTTTTCTCAACACTTTTTTGTTGTTTTATTCTACTTTTGTATTAAAAATAAATGCACTGTTGGTTAAGGGCTGTAAGTAAGCATTTCACTGTAATGTCTGCACCTGTTGTATTCGGCACATGTGGCCAATAAAATTTGATTTGAATGTTTGTAGTATTATTTCCTACAGCCGAAAATAACTTTTGGACATTAGATCGGTGGCCACTCACCAGAAATTTGACTTCCCTGACCTGGATCCTTCCCGAGGCAGCCCCATTCATCCTGGGTGCTACACCAAAACGTTGACGTTGGAGGAGAGGGAGAAGTGGGGTTCTAGTCAGGCTCAGGTGGCGAGCAAACCATCCACCACTTCAGAGTATTACTCGCTAACGTTAAGTCCCTGGACAGTAGTAAAGTAGACGAGCTCAGGGCGAGAATCTCCATTCAGAGAGACATAATGGACTCTAACATACTCTGTTTTACAGAATCATGGCTCTCTCTGGATATATTGTCTCCATACAGCCAGTGGGGTTCTCTGTTCATCGCGCGGACAGGAAGAAATAACTATTTGGGTGGAGGGGATGTCTTATAATTAACAACTCATGGAGTGATTGTGGTAACGTACACAAACTCAAGGCCTTTTCTTCTCCTGATCTGGAATACCTCACCATCAAATGCCAACCACATTACCTCCAGAAAGAATTTTCTTCGGTTGTCACTGCCGTGTATATTCCCCCACAAGCTGACACCGCGATGACTCTCAAGGAACTACACTGGACTTTGTGCAAACTGTAAACCGCATATCCTGAGGCCGCATTTATTGTAGCTGGTGACTTTAATCAAGGAAATCTGAGGTAAATGCTCCCGAAATTCTACCAACACATCTCCTGTGCTACACGCGGAGAGAACAAAGCCCTCCCCCGCCCTCCCTTCGGCAAATCAGATCACGCCTCCATCTTGCTCCTCCCCGCCTATAGACAGAAACTTACACATGAAGCACCTGTGGTAAGGACTGTTCAACGTTGGTCTGACCAATCAGAATCTATGATTCAAGACTGTTTTGATCACGCGGACTGGGAATAGTATTGACGTATACACGGACTTGGTGACTGGATTCATCAGGAAGTGTGTAGAGTATTTTGTTCATACTGTGACGATTAGAACATATCCAAACCAAAAACTGTGGATAGATGGCAGCATTCGCATCTAACCACGACACGGTGACTGGGAACATCTATGACCTCCGTAAGGCAATGAGATGCAAAATTACAATACAGGGACAAGTTGCAATTTAACGACTCAGACACGAGACGCATGTGGCAGGGACTCCAGACAGACGAGGGATAGCCAGCCACGTCGCGAACACCGATGCCTCTCTCCCGTGCAAGCTAAACACCTTTTCTTCACCTGCTTTGAGGAAAACAACACAGAGCCGCCAATGTGGGCCCCCGCCGCTAATGAGGACTGTGTGCTCCCCATCTCTGTGGCCTTCAAGTGTGTTAAACGATAAGAAAAAGTAATACAATTCCAGGTGAACTTACAATGCAGAATAATAGGGCCAGGCAATGAGGTTATATACTGAACAAAAATATAAACGCAACATGTAAAGTGTTGGTCCCATGTTTTACGAGCTGAAATAAAATATCACAATCTTTATTTCTCTCACATTTTGTGCACACATTTGTTTACATCCCTATTAGTGAGCATTTCTCCTTTGCCAAGATAATCCATCCACCTGACAGATGTGGCATATCAAGAAACTGAATAAACAACATGATCATTACACCGGTCAATATCCAGTAACTTCGCACAGCCGTTGAAGAGGAGTGGGACAACATTCCACAGGCCACAATCAACAGCTTGATCAACTCTGTGACGGAGATGTGTTGCGCTGCATGAGGCAAATGGTCACACCAGATACTGACTGACTGTTTTTCTGATCTACACCCCTACCTTTAAAAAAAAAGGTATATGTGACCAACAAATGCATATCTTTATTCCCAGTCATGTGAAATCCATAGATTAGGGCTTAATGAATTTATTTCAATTGACTGATTTCCTTATATGAACTGTAGCTCAGTAAACTCTTTGAAATCGTTGCATGTTGGTTTATATTTTTGTTCAGTATAAATGTCTTGGTACGTCATGGTATTTAACAAAGTACTTTTTTAGTAGAGAGTGGTCTGTGCGCAGGCAAGCAGGCTGTGCGCAGCAGCAGCTCAAGATTATTTGATTGACAGTTCTGGTTGCCTAGTGATGGACTTTAGTCCCACTTCAGAAGTGGCATTCCTTTACAGAAGCGGCATTCCTTTACCCCGTGCTCGCAAGACTAGCTCGAAGACATCGATGCCATGAATAGGCTAGGATATTCTAAATGCAATAAACCGAAGACTGAACACACACTTGCATCATTAGCAAATAGACAGAGCCGGCAGGCCAGCTTGAGGGGGAGAGAGAGGCTGAAGCTTGCTCATATGTTTTGGTAATCTGCATCTTGTGCTCCCGAGTGGCGCAGCGGTCTAAGGCACAGCATCTCAGTGCTTGAGGCGTCACTACAGACCCCCTGGCTGTATCACAACCGGCCGTGATTGGGAGTCCCATAGGGCAACGCACAATTGGCCCAGCGTCGTCCGGGTTTGGCCGGTGTAGGCCGTCATTGTAAATAAGAATTTGTTCTTAACTGACTTGCCTAGTTAAATAAAAATAAATTAAATCTCGTAATGTCTTGTCTTCACCTCTTCCTCTCTGGTTTTATTTGAATTGCACAACTTCCCCAGGCCTTTTATAGCCTATCGGCTATAAAACTGAAAATAATGTTTTGTGATAACTGAACTGTGATTTTATTTAAGTGGGGGTTGGGGGGGGGGGGGGGGCAAAGACATTAGTTTTTCAGTTAGGGACTTTTCTTAACATTAAGGATCCCAACTTTGTTTAAACGTTTTAATGTTTAAACATTCACACCCCTAGTTTCGGTACTAGTTTAAAAAAAAAAATATTTAAGAAAATACAAAGTGTTGGTATTCCTGATTCCATACAGTATGTGATCATATAATGCCTCATGAGAGCACAATAAGGAATACCAACGCTTTGTATTTTCTTAAATTAAAACACACGATTACGCAAACTAAAATAAAGTGCAATATGCATGTGAAATCAATATGTAAACATGGCTCAGACATTGTATAGGTTTATGCTATGTTTCGTTACAAAGAGAAAAATATGCACACTTGTGTGACTCATAATGGGGGCGTGTCTGTAGCACGGTACTTGTCATCTCCCACGCCGGGCTAATGTGATGGGCTGTCACTGTTAAGTAGCTCTCTGTAGCCTTGGGTCTATTCATCTGTAGTAAGCGCAACACAGGGGGCATTGGCCAATTCATTGACAACTTCGACTTTAGCTTGCTTATTTCTTATGCCTTCAGAAAGTATTCACACCCCTTGACTTGTTCCACATTTTGTTACAGCCTGAATTTAAAATGGATTACATTTAGATTTTGTGTGACTGATCTACACATAATACATTTACATTTTTTACATTTTAGTCATTTAGCAGACGCTCTTATCCAGAGCGACTTACAGTTAGTGAGTGCATACATTTTTCATACTGGCCCCCCGTGGGAATCGAACCCACAACCCTGGCGTTGCAAGCGCCATGCTCTACCTACTGAGCTACAGGAGGCCCAATACTCCATAATGTCAGTGGAATTATGCTTTTAGAATTTTTTTCAAACTGTAACTAGGCCACTCAGGAACATTCAATGTTGTCTTGGTAAGTAACTCTAGTGTATATTTGGCCTTGCGTTTTAGGTTATTGCCCTGCTGAAAGGTGGATTTGTCTCCCAGTGTCTGGTGGAAAGCAGACCTAAACAGGTTTTCCTCTAGGAATTTGCTTGTGTTTTAGCTCCGTTCCTTTTCTTTAAAAATAAATAAATAAAGAGTGGTAACTCATTGATGTGTTGGATTTGCCCCAAACATAATGCACAAAAAGTCAATTTCTTTGCCTGTTTTTTTGCAGCATTACTTTAGTGCGTTATTGCAAACAGGATGCATGTTTTGGAATATTTTTGTTCTGTACAGGCTTCGTTCTTTTCACTCTAATTGATGTAAGTATTGTGGAGTAGCTACAATGTTGTTGATCCATCCTCAGTTTTCTATCACAGCCATTTAACTCTGTAACTGGTTTATAATCACCATTGGCCTCATGGTAAAATCCCTGGGTGGTTTCCTTACTCTCCAGCAACTGAGTTAGGAAAGATGCCTGTAGATCTTTGTAGCGACTGGGTGTATTAATAAACCATCCAAAGTGTAATTAAAACTTCACTATGCTCAAAGGGATATTCAATGTCTGCTTTTTTCTTTTTTACCCATCTACCAATAGGTGCCCTTCTTTGCGAGGTATTGGAAAACCTTCCTGGTCTGTGTCGTTGACTCTGTGCTTGAAATTCACTGCTCGACTGAGGGACCTTACAATTATCTGTATGTATGGGGTACAGAGATGGGGTAGTCATTAAAAAAGAATGTTAAACACCATTATTGCACACATAGTGAGTCCATGCAACTTTATTATCTGACTTGTTAAGCACATTTTTACTCCTAAATGATTTATGTTTGCCATAACAAACATGTTGAATACTTATTGACTCAGCTTTTCATTTTTTATTAATTTGTAAAACATTCTAAAAGCATAATTCCACTGACATGATGGGGTATTGTGTGTAGATCAGTCACACAATCTAAATGTAATCCATTTTAAATTCAGTATGTAACAAAAGGTGGAAAAGATCTAGGGGTGTGAATACTTTCTGAAGGCACTGTAGAGCGGGTACTACCTGTTTGCTGAAATGGGTGCAAGAGGGCAAAGTTCGTAATGTGGCTCGAAAGACAGTGTTGTTCTCACCCAACAAGAATGTGCGCATATCTGCGGTTATAAACATACCTATCGCTCTCAAATTTCTTTGGCCCGGTCAGAATCTGCTGTGAAGGGCTGCTTGAATGCAGACGGGAAACTAAGTCGTTTTTTTTTTGCATTTCTGTCTTGCTCCGGTGGTATGAATACTGGGGTGATGTTGGTGTAAATGTGTCAACGTTTGAGGTGTTGGCAGCTGGATAGGCTATTCTCGTTGAGCAGTGGTGACATACTCTGTCTGTCCATTGCCGTTGTAATCTACTGGGAAGCCAAAATGTTTTTCAAACTGGAGATTTAAACGACGAGGGAAAATTCTCCTGGTTTATCGACCCCACCACTAGCCATTGTACAGAACTAGTTCCAGGCTGCGCCTCACTAAAGTACAGTTCGAAATGTGCCAATTAAGATTCAAATTTTACAGCATGTGCAATAGGCTCTAGTTGTTTTAACGGAATAGACCATGTTTATTTCAGCTCAGATTTACTCAAGTCATACAACGCAGCGTAGTCATAGCCTATAGGCCTAGAGTTTTGATTTGGTGTATGTGTATATATATATATTTTATGTATTCATTCAGGTTCAGTGCAGACCGACCCGAGGTCTCCGTACCCAACGGTTCGATACGAATACGTGGACTGTTACACCCCTACAAGAAAGCGAAGACTACTGAACTAAATGACTTATCGCCCTGTAGCACTCACTTATGTCATCATGAAGTGCTTTGAGAGGCTAGTTAAGGATCATATCACCTCCACTTTACCCGACACCCTAGCCCCACTACAATTTGCATATTGCACCAACAGATCCACGGACGACGCAATTGCCATTGCACTGCACACTGCCCTATCCCACCTGGACAAGAGGAATACATACAGTGGGGAGAACAAGTATTTGATACACTGCCGATTTTGCAGGTTGTCCTACTTACAAAGCATGTAGAGGTCTGTAATTTTTATCATAGGTACACTTCAGCTGCGAGAGACGGAATCTAAAACAAAAATCCAGAAAATCACATTGTATGATTTTTAAGTAATTAATTTGCATTTTATTGCATGACATAAGTATTTGATACATCAGAAAAGCAGAACTTAATATTTGGTACAGAAACCTTTGTTTGCAATTACGTTTGCAATTACATACGTTTCCTGTAGGTCTTGACCAGGTTTGCATACACTGCAGCAGGGATTTTGGCCCACTCCTCCATACAGACCTTCTCCAGATCCTTCAGGTTTCGGGGCTGTCGCTGGGCAATACGGACCTTCAGCTCCCTCCAAAGATTTTCTATTGGGTTCAGGTCTGGAGACTGGTTAGGCCACTCCAGGACCTTGAGATGCTTCTTACGGAGCCACTCCTTAGTTGCCCTGGCTGTGTGTTTCGGGTCGTTGTCATGCTGGAAGACCCAGCCACGACCCATCTTCAATGCTCTTACTGAGGGAAGGAGGTTGTTGGCCAATATCTCGCGATACATGGCCCCATCCATCCTCCCCTCAATACGGTGCAGTCGTCCTGTCCCCTTTGCAGAAAAGCATCCCCAAAGAATGATGTTTCCACATCCATGCTTCACAGTTGAGATGGTGTTCTTGGGGTTGTACTCATCCTTCTTCCTCCAAACACGGCGAGTGGAGTTTAGACCAAAAAGCTCTATTTTTGTCTCATCAGACCACATGACCTTCCCCCATTCCTCCTCTGGACCATCCAGACGGTCATTGGCAAACTTCCGACGGGCTTGGACATGCGCTGGCTTGAGCAGGGGGACCTTGCGTGCGCTGCAGGATTTTTATCCATGACGGCGTAGTGTGTTACTAATGGTTTTCTTTGAGACTGTGGTCCCAGCTCTCTTCAGGTCATTGACCAGGTCCTGCCGTGTAGTTCTGGGCTGATCCCTCACCTTCCTCATGATCATTGATGCCCCACGAGGTGAGATCTTGCATGGAGCCCCAGACCGAGGGTGCAGGTAACGAGTTCAAACAGGTGCAGTTAATACAGGTAATGAGTGGAGAACAGGAGGGCTTCTTAAAGAAAAACTAACAGGTCTGTGAGAGCCGGAAGTCTTACTGGTTGGTAGGTGATCAAATACTTATGTCATGCAATAAAATGCAAATTAATTATTTAAAAATCATACAATGTGATTTTCTGGATTTTTGTTTTAGATTCCGTCTCTCACAGTTGAAGTGTACCTATGATAAAAATTACAGACCTCTACATGCTTTGTAAGTAGGAAAACCTGCAAAATCGGCAGTGTATCAAATACTTGTTCTCCCCACTGTATGTAAGAATGCTTTTCATCAACTACAGCTCAGTGTTCAACACCATAGTGCCCTCCAAGCTCCTCACTAATCTCAGGGCCCTGGGTCTGAACCCTTCCCTGTGCAACTGGGTCCTAGACTTCCTGATGGGCCGACTCCAAGTGGTGAAGGTAGGCAACAACGCCTTTGCCACGTTGATCCTCAACACACGGGCCCCACAGGGTTGTGTGCTCAGCCCCCTCCTGTACGCCCTGTTCACCCATGACTGCGTGGTTTGCTGACAACAACAGTGGTAGGCCTGATTACCAAAAACAACGAGACAGCTTACACGCTCCCATCCACATCGACAGGGCCACACTGAGCACGCCGCCATCCACATCGACAGGGCCGGAGTGGAGAGGGTAAAATATTTGTTTTTAAAGTTCCTCTGCGTGCACATCACTGAGAACCTGCAATGGTCCCTCCACACCGACAGCTTGGTGAAGGCGCAACAGTGCCTCTTCAACCTCAGGAGGCTGAAGAAATTTGGCTTGGCCCCTAAGACCCTCACAAACTTCTACAGATGCACCATCGAGAGCATTCTGCCGGGCTGTATCACCACCTGGTACAGCAACTACACTGCCTGCACTCCATGACATCTACCGTGTGTCACAGGAAGGCCAAGAAGATCATCAAAGATCTCAACCACCCGAGCCACGGGCCTGTTCACCCCGCTACCATCTAGAAGGAGGAGACTGTATAGGTGCATCAAAGCTGGGACCGAGAGACTGATGAGCGGCTTCTATCTCCAGGCCATCAAGACTGTTAAACATTCATCACTAGTCGGCCTCCGTCCGGTTCCCTACCCTGAATCTTGAGGCTGCTGCGTTATGTACATAGTCATTGAACACTGGCCACTTTAATGTTTACATACTCTTACCCACTTTGTGTGTATATGGTGTATTCTAGTCATGGCTCATCTTAAATAACTACTGCTGTTCACACCTTTTTCTATTCATATTAGGGCTGTCCCCGACTAAAATAAATATTGGTCGACCGAGAGTCATCCTGTTCTTTCAACCAGTCGATTGGTCTAAATGTTTAAAGTAATTTTTCCATATATAGATAGACTATGTGTTTGAATAAAATCATCTACATAAGCACTGAGCTTGTCTGATGCTTTAAGCACACTGTTTGATGAAATAATTAAGACACACAAATGACTCAAAGAGCCTGATGGTCACACTGTGTTAAAAATGACAGTGAGTGCCTGTGTGACTGGCGCATGTTCTCGCTCTCCTCCCTACTGCAGCAAAATGGCAGCACAGCAAGTGTTTATTGCGCTCTCCGTGCTGAAATTGTAACATAATTTCAGCCATTTAGTGTCTTACTTGTTTCTGACTGAAAAGTTATGTTACCGAAATCCCTAATTTGTTTAGGAAAAACATTCCCTATTCCCTCAACCCTTGCTCTCTTTACATGAAACATGTAAGCATCGCATGCATGTGACCAATAGGGCCTGACCTATAACCTATCATAATCACATCAATAAATTGGTTATAACAAACGGCAAATACAGTAATGTCGACAACAAAATGGATGCAGAGGACATGAAAAAGAAACTCGAAATGGCCGAATGTTTACTGGTTGCTCAGGAGGGAAAGGGGAAGTCAGATCTGTGGAAGACATTTGACTTAGTTGTGGAAACGACCGTAATTTTCGGACTATAAGCCGCACCTTTTTTCCAATTTTTCGACCCTGCGGCTTATATAACGGTGCGGCTAATCTATGGATTTTTACAGCTAACGGCCACTAGAAGACCTCCTAAATCTATGGATTTTACAGGTTACAGTCCACCAACTTTAACTCTATGGGCTCTATGACCGGTCCGCGCCCCCCACCTTTAAGCGGCGGGCTCCAGCAGGAAAAGCTGGAGGCCGGAAAAGAGTGAGACAGGTAGCGCGCAAAAGTAAAAGTGGAACCGAGAGTGGTACGAGAGACAGAACGAGAGACAGAACGAGAGCAAGACAGACAGACATTACGAGAGCGAGACAGTTTGTCTCTTTCCCGACAATCCCCTCTGTGCACGAACCCTTACATATGGTAATTAAACATTAAAACACCTGCGGCTTATAGTCCAGTGCGGCTTATAGATGTACACATCATTCAATCAATCAATTTTATTTTATATAGCCCTTCTTACATCAGCTAATATCTCGAAGTGCTGTACAGAAACCCAGCCTAAAACCCCAAACAGCTAGTAATGCAGGTGTAGAAGCACGGTGGCTAGGAAAAACTCCCTAGAAAGGCAAAACCTAGGAAGAAACCTAGAGAGGAACCAGGCTATGAGGGGTGGCCAGTCCTCTTCTGGCTGTGCCGGGTGGAGATTATAACAGAACCATGCCAAGATGTTCAAAAATGTTCATAAGTGACAAGCATGGTCAAATAATAATCAGGAATAAATCTCAGTTGGCTTTTCATAGCCGATCATTAGAGTTTAAAACAGCAGGTCTGGGACAGGTAGGGGTTCCATAACCGCAGGCAGAACAGTTTAAACTGGAATAGCAGCAAGGCCAGGCGGACTGGGGATAGCAAGGAGTCACCACGGCCGGTAGTCCCGACGTATGGTCCTAGGGCTCAGGTCTCTCAGTTGGCTTTTCATAGCCGATCATTTAGAGTTGAAAACAGCAGGTCTGGGACAGGTAGGGGTTTCGTAGCCGCAGGCAGAACAGTTGAAACTGGAATAGCAGCAAGGCCAGGCGGACTGGGGGCAGCAGGGTGTCATCATGCCCGGTAGTCCTGACGTATGGTCCTAGGGCTCAGGTTCTCAGAGAGAAAGAGAGAACGAGAGAATTAGAGAGAGCATACTTAAATTCACACAGGACACTGGATAAGACAGGAGAAGTACTCCAGGTATAACCAACTAACCCCAGCCCCCCGACACATAAACTACTGCAGCATAAATACTGGAGGCTGAGACAGGAGCGGTCCGGAGACACTGTGGCCCCATCCGAAGAAACCCCCGGACAGGGCCAAACAGGAAGGATATAACCCCACCCACTCCGCCAAAGCACAGCCCCCGCACCACTAGAGGGATATCCCCAACCACCAACTTACAATCCTGAGACAAGGCCGAGTATAGCCCACAGAGGTCTCCACCACAGCACAAACCAAGGGGGGGGGGGGGGGCGCCAACCCAGACAGGAAGATCACGTCAGTAACTCAACCCACTCAAGTGACGCACCCCTCCCAGGGACGGCATGAAAGAGCACCAGCAGGCCAGTGACTCAGCCCCTGCAACAGGGTTAGAGGCAGAGAACCCCAGTGGAGAGGGGAACCGGCCTGGCAGAGACAGCAAGGGCTGTTCGTTGCTCCAGCCTTTCCGTTCACCTTCACACTCCTGGGCCAGACTACACTCAATCATATGACCTACTGAAGAGATAAGTCTTCAGTAAAGACTTAAAGGTTGAGACCGAGTCTGCGTCTCTCACATGGGTAGGCAGACTGTTCCATAAAAATGGAGATCTATAGGAGAAAGCCCTGCCTCCCGCTGTTTGCTTAGAAATTCTAGGGACAATTAGGAGGCCTGCGTCTTGTGACCGTAGCGTACGTATTGGTATGTACGGCAGGACCAACTCGGAAAGATAGGTAGGAGCAAGCCCATGTAACGCTTTATAGGTTAACAGTAAAACCTTGAAATCAGCCCTTGCCTTAACAGGAAGCCAGTGTAGGGAAGCTAGCACTGGAGTAATATGATCAAATTTCTTGGTTCTAGTCAGGATTCTAGCAGCCGTATTTAGCACTAACTGAAGTTTATTTAGTGCTTTATCCGGGTAGCCGGAAAATAGAGCATTGCAGTAGTCTAATCTAGAAGTAACAAATGCATGGATTAATTTTTCTGCATCATTTTTGGACAGAAAATTTCTGATTTTTGCAATGTTACGTAGATGGAAAAAAGCTGTCCTTGAAACAGTCTTGATATGTTCGTCAAAAGAGAGATCAGGGTCAAGAGTAACGCCTAGGTCCTTCACAGTTTTATTTGAGACGACTTTACAACCATCAAGATGAATTGTCAGATTTAACAGAAGATCTCTTTGTTTCTTGGGACCTAGAACAAGCATCTCTGTTTTGTCCGAGTTTAAAAGTAAAAAGTTTTCAGCCATCCACTTCCTTATGTCTGAAACACAGGCTTCTAGCGAGGGCAATTTTGGGGCTTCACCATGCTTCATTGAAATGTACAGCTGTGTGTCATCCGCATAGCAGTGAAAGTTAACATTATGTTTTCGAATAACATCCCCAAGAGGTAAAATATATAGTGAAAACAATAGTGGTCCTAAAACGGAACCTTGAGGAACACCGAAATGTACAGTTGATTTGTCGGAGGACAGACCATTCACAGAGACAAACTGATATCTTTCCGACAGGTAGGATCTAAACCAGGCCAGAACTTGTCCATATCATTCAATATCATTCAATTTAGCTGCTGCGGCTTATACTCCGGTGCGCCTTATAGTGCGGGAAATACGGTACTGGAGATCAAGAAAAAGGAGGGTATAGGTGCAAGCGTTGCGTGAGTATTGTGTGCCGAACAGTTGCTGTTAGATTACAATATTATTTGTATTATTATTCGGACGATTTGGAACAGTGTAAACAACACTAAATAAATATGTATACCAGAGTCTGTTCTAACAAAACAAATGTGTGTATATATAAAGCCTTTATTACAACAGACAAAACAGTTGCTTTACTTTACTTTTTATTTAATCATTTACTTTTTCCACATTTTGTTACGTTACAGCCTTATTCTAAAATGGATTAAATACATATTTTTCCTCCTCAATCTACACACAACACCCCATAATGACAAAGCAAAAACAGGTTTTTAGAAATGTTTGCAAATGTATTAAAAATAAAAAAACAGAGGTACCTTTATTTTCATAAGTATTCAGACCCTTTGCTATGAGGCTTGAAATTGAGCTCCGGTACATCCTGTTTCCATTGATCATCCTTGAGATGTTTCTACAACTTGATTGGAGTCCACCTGTGGAAAGGCACACGCCTGTCTATAGAAGGTCCCACAGTTGACAGTGCATGTCAGAGCAAAAACCAAGCCATGAGGTGGAAGGAATTGTCCATAGAGCTCCAAGACAGGATTGTGTCGAGGCACCGATCTGGGGAAGGGTACCAAAAAATATCTGCAGCATTGAAGGTCCCCAAGAACACAGTGGCCTCCATCATTCTTAAATGGAAGAAGTTTGGAACCACCAAGACTCTTCCAAGAGCTGGCCGCCCGGACAAACTGAGCAATTGGGGGAGAAGGGCCTTGGTCAGGGAGGTGACCAAGAACCCGATGGTCACTCTGACAGAGCTCTAGAGTTCCTCTGTGGAGATGGGAGAACCTTCCAGAAGGACAACCATCTCTGCAGCAATCCACCAATCAGGCCTTTATGGTAGAGTGGCCAGACGGAAGCCAGTCCTCAGTAAAAGGCACATGACAGCCCGCTTGGACTTTGCCAAAAGGCACCTAAAGGACTCTCAGACCATGAGAAACAAGATTCTCTGGTCTGATTAAACCAAGATTGAACTCTTTGGCCTTAATGCCAAGCATCACGTCTGGAGGAAACCTGGCACCATCCCTTAGGTGAAGCATGGTGGTGGCAGCATCATGCTGTGGGGATGTTTTTCAGCGGCAGGGACTGGGAGACTAGTCAGGATCGAGGGAACAATGAACGGAGCAAAGTACAGAGAGATCCTTGATGAAAACCTGCTCAGGACCTCCAGACTGGGGCAAAGGTTCACCTTCCAACAGGACAACGACCCTAAGCACACAGCCAAGACAACGCAGGAGTGGCTTCGGGACAAGTCTCTGAATGTCCTTGAGTGGCCCAGCCAGAGCCCGGACTTGAACCCGATCGAACATCTCTGGAGATACCTGAAAATATCGGTTGCAGCGACGCTCCCCATGCAACCTGACAGAGCTTGAGAGGATCTGCAGAGAAGAATGGGAGAAACTCCCCAAATTCAGGTGTGCCAAGCTTGTAGCGTCATACCCAAGAAGACTAAAGGCTGTAATCGCTTCCAAAGGTGCTTCAACAAAGTACTGAGTAAAGGGTCTGAATGCTTGTCTAACTTTAATATTTCGGTTTTATTTTATAAATTTGCTATAAAAATAAATAAAAACTATTTTTGCTTTGTCATTATGGGTTATTGTGTGTAGATTGAGTAGAAAAAATAATTGTATCAATTTTAGAGTAAGGCTGTAACGTAACCAAAGGTGGAAAAAGTCAAGGGGTCTGAATACTTTCCGAATGCACTGTACACATATTTATATTCCGGTCTCTGACATTGCTCGTTCTGATATGCTTTAATTTTTTGTTTTTACTTTTGGCTTATGTGTGTATTGCTATGCATTACTGCAGTGTTGGAGCTAGAAACATAATAATTTTGCTGCGCTTGTGATAACATCTGCAAATCTGTGTATGCAACCAATAAACGTTGATTTCATGCTCTTCCTGCTGCCTCTTTGGAATGATTCAGGACTTTGAATAAAGAATGTTTTGATGACAAGATTATCACAACAGAATGAAGCATCAACTTGGTGAATGTAGAATCGTTGTGTCTGAGAGAGTGAGACTTTCCTCTGTCAGGTATTTGTTCTATAGAGCCTAGCTAATACCTTTCGCAATCCTATTTTCCAGGTGGTGCTACTGTCTGCCACCATGCCTCAGGATGTTCTGGAAGTCACCAAGAAGTTCATGCGTGAGCCAATCCGTATCCTTGTGAAGAAGGAGGAGCTCACCCTGGAGGGTATTCGCCAGTTCTACATTAATGTGGAGAAAGAGGTATTGCTGTTCTAGATGCTTGTTATAGAAACGTGTGTATATATAGATAAAATATATGGCTCTTATAGATGCTTGTGAATAGTTTTGTTCCTTTGCTCTATATAATCAAAACTGTTGATTTAACATATACAAAACATTTTATCTAAAAGAAAACAAAAGTAATTAAGTAGCCCCATTTTGTCAATACAACACAGTAACTCTTTGGGCTGGGAATTGCCCGGGACCTCACGATACGATATGCAATTCTGTGATTTTATTGCGATTGGATGTTCCAAACGTATTGCTCACCATATGTCTGCTGCAGAGGGACAAGAGAGAGCCATGAGAAAACAAGTTTATATCAGTCATGGAATAAGTGCTAAAAACAAATTGGCTCGCTATTTAACACTAGACTGCAACATTATAACAGTGTAATTAATAAATGTCATATATAATAATCATTTGATTGCGTTTATGAAGACCTTGTAAAGCATTGGAATACGATTTGTATTTAATTTAAAAGAAGACAATAGCATTTTCATTAGTTTGTTAATGTAGGCTATATGTAAAAACAAAACAAACAAATTCAAGTGTTCAATTTATTTTGTTGGTGGAGTACCTGTGTTACAACTATGAAACAGAAAGTGTATGTGTTGGAACACGGGAACCACTTCTTTTTTTAAGACACATTTTAAAAAATACCCCAACCACGAGCGGCCTTGATGATAAATAGTTAAAATCAGAAACAAAAGCATTATAATCGGCTCCAAAGGTATTGGGACAGTAAACAAAACATTTTTTTGTTTAGGTTGAGTTTCGAGGTGATTATCAGCTGGGCACTGCACTTTGACCTGTTGGGAGAAGGAGTGGAGCAGGCCCTACTGTCGGGAGAAGGAGGGGCAACGGGGGAAACCATAAAAAAAATATGACATGCCCTCCTAAAACTGGTTATAACTCCAGTTCTGTTTGTGATTTGAAGAGTCTAACTACAGTGTGTTATATAGACTTATTTAGGAAAAGTCAAGGACAAAGGGGGGCATGACTTAAATTGCAGAGTAATTAAAACATGTAATTCATAAGCAGTCAAAATGACTTCTTTAGCGGTTCTAGTGTTAAAAAGATGGATAACAAGCTATGAAGGAAGAATACTGCAGTTTTGGTGCGATATTGTCAAAACGATACGACAGATCGTTAAAAAAAATTATCCCCCCTGTTACTAGTAACTGTGTTCTGTTCACATAGAATACTAATCAGTAGGCAGCTTTCCAATGACCCAGGTTTATTCGACAAAAGCACAAATCTTTGCGACATCTGTAATGGAAACGGCAGATAGGAGACATTTTCTAAAGATCAGATTTTATATTTTTTACATCCGTTCGACAGGGTTGGATTTATCTTTTGTGGAACTTTTCTTTATTGTGACAAATTATACTGGAAACTGTTTTTCTAATAAATAATGATTGCCAAATAATTTTGAAGTCACGTGGGACACGTGGTGTCATCACGTAACTATAAAGCTCCACATTTAATTCTAAATTATTCTGCTTGCAAAATCTTTGCAGGACATTGATTGTCCTGACTTTCAAGAATGCCTGAATTGCGTCACTTTTCTTTTTTGGTTGGCTGGCAAGTTTCACCATCCAATTATTTCAGCACTACATGAGTGCAAGTTTCACTTTGCCACACATGAGAGTGATTAGAATATGGCAAATATTAGTCAATTATTGCCTTCTGTCCATGTTGGCTTTCGCAGGCTACCTGAGACATGAAACAGATAGGTGTGAGTGCGTACAGGCTGTCGCCAATGTATTAATGCACAATTTAATGGAAACACTTCAACCACCATTTTTATTCGACACTGTAGGGTTTTTGCTGAAGTGTTTTTTCAGGTGTGACGTCATTACGTCCACTGTGGATGGGATCTCTGTCCCTTTCCGCAACTTAGCTTTAAAGCAACGTTATTCCCATGTCTCCAGTCTCAATTCAACCCCCTTTCCATTGTTAGGAGTGGAAGCTGGACACCCTGTGTGATCTGTACGAGACCCTGACCATCACCCAGGCTGTGATCTTCATCAACACCCGCAGGAAGGTGGACTGGCTGACTGAGAAGATGCACGCCAGGGACTTCACTGTCTCTGCCCTGGTAAGAGCTCCTGCACCTCCAGCGCTGTGTCCATGTCCCACAGTGTTGTCATACCTAACACCCAGGTATGTGTTTGGTGATGGACATACGGGTTGATAATGGTTTGTGTTATGTGCGTTGATGTTTTAGTAATAAGTATGTGGATGATGATGAACAAAGGCCTACGGTGCCTTCAGAAAGTATTCACACCCCTTGACTTTTTCCACCTTTGTTGTGTTACAAAGTGGGATTTAAATGGATTGAATTGTCATTTTATGTCAACGATCTACACAAAATACTCTGTTAAAGTGGAAGAAAAATTCTAACATTTGTAAATAAAATAAAAACTAAAAAACGATCTTGATTAGATAAGTGTTTAACCCCCTGTGTCAATACATGTTAGAATCACCTTTGTCAGCGATTACAGCTGTGAGTCTTTCTGGGTAAGTCTCTAAGAGCTTTCCACACCTGGATTGTGCAACATTTGCCCATTTATTATTTAAAAAAATATTCAAGCTCTGTCAAATGTGCTTGTTGATCATTGCTAGACAACCATTTTCAGGTCTTGCCATAGATTTTCAAGCAGATTTAAGTCAAAACTGTAACTTGGCCACTACGGAACATTCACTGTCTTCTTGGTAAGCAACTCCAGTGTAGATTTGGCCTTGTGGTTTAGGTTAATGTCCTGCTGAAAGGTGAATTAATCACCCAGTGTCTGGTGGAAACCAGACTGAACCAGCCTTTCCTCTAGGATTTTGCCTGTGCTTAGCTCTATTCCGTTTCTTTTTATCATAAAAAACTCCCTAGTCCTTAACGATTACAAGTATACCCATAACATGATGCATCCACCACTATGCTTGAACATATGGAGAGTGGTACTCAGTAATGTGTTGTATTGGATTTGCCCCAAACATAACACTTTGTATTCAGGACAAAAACTTAATTGCTTTGCCACATTTCTTTGCAGTATTACTTTAGTGCCTTGTTGCAAACAGGATGCATGTTTTGGAATATTTTTATTCTGTGCAGGTTTCCTTTTCACTCTGTCAATAAGGTTAGTATTGTGTAGTAACTACAATGTTGTTGATCCATTTTCTCCTATCACATCCATTAAACTCTGTAACTGAAATCCCTGAGCGGTTCTCTTCCTCTCTGGTAACTATGTTAGGAAGGATGCCTGTATCTTTGTAGTGACTGGGTATATTGATACACCATCCGAAGTGTAATTAATCTGTGTTTCAAATGCACTGCTCAACTGAGGGACATTACAGATAATTGTATGTGTGGGGTACAGATATGAGGAAGTCATTCAAAATTCATGTTTAACACTATAATTGCGGCCTCCAGAGTGGCTCAGCAGTCAAAGGCACTGCATCGCAGTGCTTGAGGCGTCAAGCGACCGGAAGACCCATGAGGCAGCGCACAATTAACCCAGCGTCGTCCGGGTTAGAGGAGGGTTTGGCCGGCCGGGATGTCCTTGTCCCATCGTGCTCTAGCGGCTCCTGTGGCATGCACGCTGACACGGTCGCCAGTTGTACGGTGTTTCCTCCGACACATTGGTGCGGCTGGCTTCCGGGTTAAGCAAGCAGTGTGTCAAGAAGCAGTGCGGCTTCGCAAGGTCGTGTTTCGGAGGACGCATGGCTCTCGACCTTCGCCTCTCCGTACGGGAGTTGCAGCGATGGGACAAGACTGTAACTACCATTTGGATATCCCGAAAAAGGGGTTAAAAGTACACAGAAAAATAAAATATAAAATAACACTATTATAGCAGACAGTGAGTCCATGCAACTTCAGAAAGTGTTCACACCCCATTACTTTTTCCACATTTTGTTGTTACAGCCTGAATTTTAAATGTATGAAATTTTGATTGTTTTTGTCACTGGCCTACACACAATACCCCATAATCTCAGTGGAATAATGTTTTTCAAAAATTTGACTAATTAATACAAAATGAAAAGCTGAAATGTCAATAAGTATTCAAGCCCTTTCTTATGGCAAGCCTAAATAATTCAGGAGTAAATGCTTAACAAGTCACATAAATTGCATGGACTCACTCTGTGTGCCATAATAGTGGTTATGATTTTTAAATGACTGCCTCATCTCTGTACCCCACACATACAATTATCTGTAAGGCCTCTGTCGAGCAGTACATTTCAAACACAGATTCAACCACAAAACCAGGGAGGTTTTGCAATGCCTCGCAAAGAAGGGCATCTATTGGTAGACGGGTACAAATAAAAATAAAAAGTAGACATTGAATATCCCTTTGACCATGGTGAAGTAATTCATTTACACTCTGGATGGTGTATCAATAAATCCAGTCATAAAAAGGTACAGGCGTCCTTCCTAACTCAGTTGCCGGAGAGGAAGGAAACCGCGCAGGGATTTCACCACGAGGCCAATGGTGAGTAAAACAGTTAGTTTTCTCCTATCACAGCCATTAAACTCTGAGGATGGATCAACAACATTGTAGTTACTCCACAATACTAACCTAATTGACAGAGCGAAAAGGAGGCCTGTGCAGAATATATTTTTATTGCAAAATATGCAACATGCAACAAGGCACTAAAGTAATACTGCACAAATATGGCAAAGCAATTAATACAGTGTGTTTGGGGCAATTCCAATACAACACATTACTGAGTAACACTCTCCATATTTTCAGGTATAGTGGTGGCTGCATCATGTTATGGGTATGCTTGTAATCGTTACGGACTGGGGAATTTTTCAGGATTAAAAAATAAACGGAATGGAGCTAAGCACAGGCCAAATCCTAGAGGAAAAGCTGGTTCAGTCCGCTTTCCACCAGATACTGGGAGATGAATTCATCTTTCAGCAGGACAATAACCTAAAACACAAGTCCAAATCTACACTGGAGTTTCTTACCAAGAAGACAGAAAATGTTCCCAAGTGACTCAAGTTACAGTTTTGACTTAAATCTGCTTGAAAATCTACGGGAAGACCTGCAAATGGTTGTCTAACAATGATCAACAACCACAGCTTGAACATTTTTCAAAATAATGGGCAAATGTTGCACAATCCAGGTGTGGAAAGCTCTTAGAGACTTAGCCAGAAAGACTCACAGCTATAATCGCTGCAAAAGGTACTTCTACAAAGTATTGACTCAGGGGTTTGAATACTTACGTATATGAGACATTTCTGTATTTAATTTTCAAGAAATGTGCAACAATTTCTAAATATGTTTTCACTTTGTCAAGTGTAGATGGGTGGGGAAAAAATCTATTGAATCCATTTTGAATTCAGGCTGTAACAACAAAATGTGGAAAAAGTCAAGGGGTATGAATACTTTCTGAAGGTACTACAGTGAGGGGAAAAAAGTATTTGATCCCCTGCTGATTTTGTACGTTTGCCCACTGACAAAAAAATGATCAGTCTATAATTTTAATGGTAGGTTTATTTGAACAGTGAGAGACAGAATAACAACAAAAAAATCCAGAAAAATGCATGTCAAAAATGTTATAAATTGATTTGCATTTTAATGAGGGAAATAAGTATTTGACCCCTCTCAATCAGAAGGATTTCTGGCTCCCAGGTGTCTTTTATGCAGGTAACGAGCTGAGATTAGGAGCACACTCTTAAAGGGAGTGCTCCTAATCTCAGCTTGTTACCTGTATAAAAGACACCTGTCCACAGAAGCAATCAATCAATCAGATTCCAAACTCTCCACCATGGCCAAGACCAAAGAGCTCTCAAAGGATGTCAGGGACAAGATTGTAGACCTACACAAGGCTGGAATGGGCTACAAGACCATCGCCAAGCAGCTTGGTGAGAAGGTGACAACAGTTGGTGCGATTATTTGCAAATGGAAGAAACACAAAATAACTGTCAATCTCCCTCGGCCTGGGGCTCCATGCAAGATCTCACCTTGTGGAGTTGCAATGATCATGAGAACGGTGAGGAATCAGCCCAGAACTACACGGGAGGATCTTGTCAAGATCTCAAGGCAGCTGGGACCATAGTCACCAAGAAAACAATTGGTAACACACTATGCCGTGAAGGACTGAAATCCTGCAGCGCCCGCAAGGTCCCCCTGCTCAAGAAAGCATATACAGGGCCGTCTGAAGTTTGCCAATGAACATCTGAATGATTCAGAGGAGAACTGGGTGAAAGTGTTGTGGTCAGATGAGACACAAATCGAGCTCTTTGGCATCAACTCAACTCTCTGTGTTTGGAGGAGGAGGAATGCTGCCTATGACCCCAAGAACACCATCCCCACCTTTGGGGGTGTTTTTCTGCTAAGGGGACAGGACAACTTCACCGCATCAAAGGGAAAATGGACGGGGCCATGTACCGTCAAATCTTGGGTGAGAACCTCCTTCCCTCAGCCAGGGCATTGAAAATGGGTCGTGGATGGGTATTCCAGCATGACAATGACTCAAAACACACGGCCAAGGCAACAAAGGAATGGCTCAAGAAGAAGCACATTAAGGTCCTGGAGTGGCCTAGCCAGTCTCCAGACCTTAATCCCATAGACAATATGTGGAGGGAGCTGAAGGTTCGAGTTGCCAAACGTCAGGCTCGAAACCTTAATGACTTGGAGAAGATCTGCAAAGTGGAGTGGGACAAAATCCCTCCTGAGATGTGTGCAAACCTGGTGGCCAACTACAAGAAACGTCTGACCTCTGTGATTGCCAACAAGGGTTTTGCCACCAAGTACTAAGTCACGTTTTGCAGAGGGGTCAAATACTTATTTCCCTCATTAAAATGCAAAATCAATTTATAACATTTTTGACATGCGTTTTTCTGGATTTTTGTTGTTATTCTGTCTCTCACTCTTCAAATAAACCTACCATTAAAATTATAGACTGATCATGTCTTTGTCAGCGGGCAAACGTACAAAATCAGCAGGGGATCAAATACGTTTTTCCATCACTGTATATTATGTGACTTGTTAAGCAAATATTTACTCCTTCTGCATTGCTTGCTCTGCGGTTTTAGGCTGGGTTTCTGTATAAGCACTTTGTGACATATGCTGATGTAAAGTACTGTGACATATGCTGATTTTGTACTCTCCCAAATTTCGTGATATCCAATTGGTAGTTACAGTCTTGTCCCATCGCTGCGACTCCCCTACGGACTCGGGAGAGGCAAAGGTCGAGAGCCATGCGTCCTCCGAAACACGAACCTGCCAAGCCGCACTGCTTCTTGACACATTGTTCGCTTACCCCGGAAGCCAGCCGCACCAATGTGTCGGAGGAAACACCGTCAAGCTTGCAACCGAAGTTAGCTTGCAGGCGCCCGGCCCTCCACAAGGAGTCGCTAGAGCGCGATGGGACAGACATCCCGGCCGGCCAAACCCTCCCCTAACCCGGACGACGCTGGGCCAATTGTGCGCCGCCTCATGGGTCTCCCGGTCACGGCCAGCTGTGACACAGCCTGGGATGGAAGCCGGTTCTGTAGTGACGCCTCAAGCACTGCGATGCAGTGCCTTAGACCGCTGCACCACTCGGGAGGCCAAAGTTTCGCCAAACTTAATTCCAATTTGATATTATGGGGGAATCGTGTTTAGGCCAGTGACAAAATAATCTAAATTGTATCCATTTTAAATTCAGGCAGTATCACAACAAAATGTGGAAAAAGTCAAGGGGTGTGAATACTTTCTGAAAACTGATAACAGTTTATGAGCTGGGTTTCCAGGTGCCAATTTAAGACTAGTCCTGGACTAAAAGCATGATCTCCAGGACTAGCTTAATCTGTGTCTGGGAAACTAGACACAAATTGCTTTGAGAGAGTGCCGTTGATGTTTTTAAGTGGTTAGTTCCACCCCTGTCACTGGGTAGTGCCTTTTGAGTGGCACTGAGTCTTATCTGCCGGGGGGGAGAGACAAAGCCATATTCATCCCAGCCGACTCTGTGCCGTGAGCAACAGGTTGGTTCATGCTATGGGCACAAACTCGTCATTGAGTTGAACACTTAATACAGGCACAGTGTTGACGTGTCTGTGTAATTTATCCTATTGATGTCATTGTTTACATTAAACACATTCGTTTACATTATCTATAGAAGCCACAGCCTTCGATCTCCACAGTATAGTTCCTGTCTTTGTCACAAAGTTCCTCCTGTACTTCTTAGTGCCTATATTCGTGCAGAAAACATCCCGTTGATCTGGTTAGATAAGCATTTCTATGATTTCCATAGATCAGCATTTGTTGGTCTTTTTGATGGTTTCTGTAACTGTTTGTTCTTGGTACAGTAAAGAGATTCATGAAATGCTTGTGGTGTTCATTCACTCATGTGATGTCAGATCCAGGCTAACTATCTTGTCTGACTATAAGTGTTTCTGTATAAGAGTGTCTGCTAAATGTAATGTCTTCCTTCCTCCCCAGCACGGTGACATGGACCAGAAGGAGAGGGACCTGATCATGAGGGAGTTCCGCTCTGGCTCCAGCCGTGTCCTCATCACCACAGATCTGCTGGTGAGTTGAGTTCTGGAGACGCCACAGCACCCTACTACCTTGGTAGAGCACGCTGTGCCCTGAATCTTTTCATATGTTGGATGTAAAATTATATGAATATCTTATTATATTAATCCAATGTGTAAGTGGGCTCTATATGATCTATTTAATCAGCCTACTCTTAAAGAACAGTGATGACAACATTTTAATCAAGTGGCAACATTTTTAGTATGTGATCCCTATTGGATCTGAACCCATAACCTTTGGCATTGCTAGCACCACACACTCTTACCAACTGATCCACACAGGACTAAGCTAGCCTGCACCAGTGTGCAGGGTAATACAGCTAGAGGTCAGGCATTGAAGGAGTGCTAATCATGTTTCTCCTTTCAGGCTCGAGGAATTGATGTTCAGCAGGTGTCTCTGGTTATTAACTATGACCTGCCGACCAACCGTGAGAACTACATTCACAGGTAGGAGGGACCCTTAGGGCTGGCCGTATTTTACTATATACCGGTATTGATGCACGGCCCGGTTTGTGATTTTACTTTACCTTCTATAATGGTATTTGAATGTTTGGTTTGTTAAATATGATATGCTACTTGAGTCATCTCCTCTCACTCTCTCCCTCTCTATGCCGCTTTCCACCCAGACCAATCAGCGCCCCGTCACTCAAGGAGTGCAGTTGTTGTTGCTCGACCACGAGACCACTTGCGCTCAGTATGCATGGTTAATGCTGCACTTGCGACAAGATGTTGATGTCAACAAGCGTCAAGCGTTCTATAATTACACTATTAGTTTGTGTATCTTGCAGTCTGCAAACAGCTGGTGTCTTTTCTTAGCAAGTTGTTGCTAAAATTGTATAGTTTTAGCCACTAATGCTAATCGCTAGTTAGCTAATAAGTGTACTGAGTCGGAGCAAACGTAGCTAGCTAATACAGCCTGATCCCAGTGCTGGTGTAGGCCTAGATCATTATTGTGTTTGTCCAACAGTATCTTCTAAATCAGAGAGGAATAGGCGAACCATGAATATGTTAGCTACATGAAGTAGCTAAGAGAGAACATTTTAATGTAGCTAAATTATAGGGTCCCCTAGGAAACACTGACCAACACTTTGGTTCCTACCCTGTAACAATAATTTCTCCCTGGCTTTTTCATTCGTTGTCATGTCAAACACTGTATTCAAAGTGCCCACTATTATATTCTAACTATAGAATTAGAATAATCATTCTATTTCCATGATTTCATCAGTTCACCCAAGTGTTTTGATCTAAATCGCAATTGCAATTTTTGTTAAATATTAAGGCCTAGATTTTTGGGCCCATATTGTGCACACCCATTGTAGCAGTGTGGAAATGATCTCAAAGGAGTGCAGAAATTGATTCAAATGCAGAGTATTTATTTTGATTGAACAGTATAAATAATCAGAATGGAGAAAGCCCCATTGAAATCAATTAGGGGGGAATTCCGACCCGAGTTAAGCGCACGTAAATTGAACGTAATTTCCTTTTTATGCAATTTTTTTCTATCTATGCGTATTCTGACCTTGAACTTAAGCATGAGAATAGCATGCTATTCACAGAAATGGTGTGGCGGAGCTGCGTCTACAGATATGCTGTATTCTGACCTTGACTTAATTCCCTCATAATTCCACCACCTCTACTCGTGATGAAACAATGAATAAGGTTGAGCGACAAGTCAGTTCCAAGTGGACACCATTCTCCAAAGTGTTATGTTAGGGGCAAATCCAACACAACACTGAGTACCACTCTTCATATTTTCAAGCATGGTGGTGGCTGCATCATGTTATGGGTATGCTTGTCATCGGCAAGGACTACAAAGTGTTTTAGGATAAAAATAAATGGACTACAGCTATAAGCACAGGCAAAATCCTTGAGGAAAACCTGGTTCAGTCTGCTTTCCAACAGACACTGGGCGACAAATTCACCTTGCAGCAGGACTATAACCTAAAACGCTAGGCCAAATCTACACTGGAGTTGCATAACAAGATGACGTTCAATGTTCCGGAGTGGCCTAGTTACAGTTTTGACTTAAATCCGCTTGAAAATCTATGGAAAGACTTGAAAATGGCTGTCTAGCAACAACCAACTTGACAGAGCTTGAAGAATTTTGAAAGAATAATGTGCAAATATTGTACAATCCAGGTGTGCGAAGCTCTTACAATGTTTTTGATTCAACTTCAGTCTTCTCCTATCACAGCCATTAAACTCTGTAACGGTTTTAAAGTCACGATTGGCCTCGTGAAATCCCTGAGTGATTTCCTTCCTCTCTGGCAACTGAGTTAGGAAGGATGCCTGTTTCTTTGTAGTGACTGGTTGTATTGATTAGGGTTGTCCCCGACCCAAAACAATATTGGTCGACCAAGAGTGGTCTTTTCTTTCGACCAATCGATTGGTTTACATTTTTAAACGTGTACTTTTCCATATACAGTGAGGGAAAAAAGTATTTGATCCCCTGCTGATTTTGTACGTTTGCCCACTGACAAAGAAATGATCAGTCTATAATTTTAATGGTCGGTTTATTTGAACAGTGAGAGACAGAATAACAACAAAAAAATCAAGAAAAACACATTAAAATGCAAATCAATTTATAACATTTTTGACATTAGTTTTTCTGGTTTTTTTTGTTGTTATTCTGTCTCTCACTGTTCAAATAAACCTACCATTAAAATTATAGACTGATCATTTCTTTGTCAGTGGGCAAACGTACAAAATCAGCAGGGGATCAAATACTTTTTTCCCTCACTGTATAGACCCACACCTTATGTTTTTTTAATAAAATCAACTAAATGTACTGAACTTGTCTGATGCTTTAAGCATGCTGTTTGATTAAATAATTAAGACCCATAAATGTTTCAAGGGAGCCAGAAATCGATAGCCTAACCAGAAGAAAAAAAACCTGCTGAAACCGTTCCACTTTCTGGTCAACAGATTGTCTTGTGTAGTTTTCAATAAGGTTTTCAGTACATTTATCTAATGCCATCCCTTTAAATTGGCTGTACCTTTTTAATTAAAATGTTCAACACTCACTAACGCATCAGAATATTATGGATCAGTGAAAGAAAGCCATGTAAATACACGCATTCGTCTCCTTTTCAGCACCAATTGGTAGATTTAAAAATACTCTGATCTTGATACATTTTTTAAATAAAAAATACACATAAGTCAATTTGTCCCAATACTTTTGGTCCCCTAAAATGCGGGGACTATGTACAAAGATTTCTGTAATTTCTAAATGGTTCACCCGATATGGATGAAAATACCCTAAAGGTCTGCTGATAGTCTGCACTTTAACCTCCTAGTCATTGTATCATTTCAAATCCAAAGTGCTGGAGTACAGAGCCAAAACAACAAAATGTGTCACTGTCCCAATACTTTTGGAGCTCACTGTAATTAAAACATTCTAGAAATCATAAATCAACTCTGTAGGTTTGGCGTTATACTGTCATTTGCGCATGGCTACGGAAGCCTATAAGCTTGGGTCTCCAAATTTCACCCCAAGTTATAAGGCCAGCATTTCAAGAACTTCACTGTGGAAAAGGTGATATGTTGATATGCTTCAGTTTGCTACCATATGACTGGTTTCACATTTAGATATATTTACAATCCCCTTATCCAAACGACTTACTCATTTACCTAGCTCTAATCAATAGCGCTTATCAATTTGTAAATTACAGTGCATGGAGAATGGTGTTATTTCTATTAGAAAAAATAAAGATGTTCCACTTGGAACTGACAGGTTGCTCGACCTTATTCATCGTGCGTAAAGGTGGTGGAATTATGAGGGAATTAAGTAGAGCTCAGTTATCTGTAAAGACACCTCTGCCACAACTTCATTTTTTTTGGATCTCCACCCCAAACAAATAGCGTATGAATAGCATGCTATTCTCGTGCTTAAATTAAAGGTCAGAATATGCGTAGAGAGAAGTGCATAAAAAGGGAATTATATATAATTTGCGTGCGCTTAACTCTGGTTTGAATTCCACCCGTAGAATTTGTTGCCACCCTAGGGGCATGCATGCACTAGTCATACAGCAAATTAATCAGGAATTCCTGCTTTTTTTGACATTTCCAGAGTTTTCTATATTTTCCTGCTCACATTCCTCCTGGTTTGTTTATTTCAATACTGTTTTAATTATAAATGCAAATCGTCAGGGTTCATATTAACCTTGTCTTTGCTTGTTGTGTGCCAGGATCGGGAGAGGAGGCCGTTTCGGCAGGAAGGGTGTTGCCATCAACATGGTGACTGAGGAGGACAAGCGCACACTCCGGGACATTGAGACATTCTACAACACCACAGTAGAAGAGATGCCCATGAATGTGGCTGACCTGATCTAGAGTAGAGCACCTAGCCTCTGGCGCCCTGCCTGCTGGTGGTCCCTTCACACTCTACAGACCACTATCATCATCATCTAACTATTCCCCCCCCCCCTCCCCCCAATTCCTCAATCTCCATTCTCTAAAATCTCCCATTTCCTACCTATCTTCCCACCTATCCAAGCCTCTCCCGTGTATCCCAATTTTGCGCTCTTAAATGGGGTAGGGGAACCCCCGGTTTCCTTCCTCTTCCATGCCCTCTTCAGTCCCTCAGCTCAGCCCCACTCATTTGGTTTTCTATGGCTTAAAGGAAAGAGACCACCTCTCCTGCTAGCCTTGCATAATACAAATCAAGAATTGTATATTTACTTGGCCACAGATGAGGATCAGTATGTTTGCATTAGCAGCAGACTTCATGTCCTTATGTTGTATGCAAGGACCCCTTGGGACTCCATTTCAATAGGAAATGGTGACTTCTTTGGGGAATGGGGATTGCACTATGCAGTTGCAGTCTTTATTTGCATCTGAGTTGTTATATTGTATCACTATCCATTGCTGATATGCAGTAGATTTTCTGCAGGAGAGTTTTTAAACAAACAAAGGATGACATTGTTAATCTTTTTTTTTAAATTAATTTTGTATGTGCCTCGAAAGTACAGCTATTCATTTGAATACTGTTAATGAGTGGTAAGCCAGACAAACTGTTGGTGGATATTTTGACTGAATAATATAAAACAACCTATTTAATTCTGAAGTGTATAATTTACATTTCACAAGGGTTGGCATTTTTGGGGAGAAACTGAAGGTGTACAGAGGGGGCTATTGGGAGTTTTGCTTTGGGTGCAAAGATATTTGATGGACTACATTAAATTATATTCCAGTATAAACATTATATTTATTTTCCACACCTTTTTTTATTCATTAGTTTGGTTTCATTTTACAAATTAGGGGAGGGGGGTGACTTAAATAAAGTTACCAAATAAATAATGCATTTGTTTTGCCAGTTATTTATTTTCTTATTACGATCAGTAGCTATGTTTCCATTAACTTGTCCAGTTTTTTTGTCGACACTAACCAGGTTTCCAACCAAACTTTTTATGCGAGTGAAGTACATGTTGCATAAAAAATGCCATGACAGGCCTGATGGAACGGAACATTTTTCGGTACTTTCCAAACTTTCCAAATGCCGACAAAACAAAATACGCTAGACAAGGTGGGATCTTTTTGTTCCAGAATGCAGGATCAATGAGTTAGCCAGATAGCCCTGAAATAAATGCATGATATGAGTTACTTGACAATCACAGTCCATTTTCAAGTTCAGCTTTCTAAAAGCACGCAACTGAAGGCAATAAACCACTTCTCTGATAGAAAACGGCCTATGTAGCATCGATATTAGTCAAACATACAGTGGGGAGAACAAGTATTTGATACACTGCCGATTTTGCAGGTTTTCCTACTTACAAAGCATGTAGAGGTCTGTAAGTTTTATCATAGGTACACTTCAACTGTGAGAGAAGGAATCTAAAACAAAAATCCAGAAAATCACATTGTATGATTTTTAAGTAATTAATTTGCATTTTATTACATGACATAAGTATTTGATCACCTACCAACCAGTAAGAATTCCGGCTCTCACAGACCTGTTAGTTTTTCTTTAAGAAGCCCTCCTGTTCTCCATTCATTACCTGTATTAACTGCACCTGTTTGAACTCGTTACCTGTATAAAAGACACCTGTCCACACACTCAATCAAACAGACTCCAACCTCTCCACAATGGCCAAGACCAGAGAGCTGTGTAAGGACATCAGGGATAGAATTGTAGACCTGCACAAGGCTGGGATGGGCTACAGGACAATAGGCAAGCAGCTTGGTGAGAAGGCAACAACTGTTGGCTCAATTATTAGAAAATGGAAGAAGTTCAAGATGACGGTCAATCACCCTCGGTCTGGGGCTCCATGCAAGATCTCACCTCGTGGGGCATCAATGATCATGAGGAAGGTGAGGGATCAGCCCAGAACTACACGGCAGGACCTGGTCAATGACCTGAAGAGAGCTGGGACCACAGTCTCAAAGAAAACCATTAGTAACACACTACGCCGTCATGGATTAAAATCCTGCAGCGCACGCAAGGTCCCCATGCTCAAGCCAGCGCATGTCCAAGCCCGTCTGAAGTTTGCCAATGACCATCTAGATGATCCAGAGGAGGAATGGGAGAAGGTCATGTGGTCTGATGAGACAAAAATAGAGCTTTTTGGTCTAAACTCCACTCGCCGTGTTTGGAGGAAGAAGAAGGATGAGTACAACCCCAAGAACACCATCCCAACCGTGAAGCATGGAGGTGGAAACATCATTCTTTGGGGATGCTTTTCTGCAAAGGGGACAGGACGACTGCACCGTATTGAGGGGAGGATGGATGGGGCCATGTATCGCGAGATCTTGGCCAACAACCTCCTTCCCTCAGTAAGAGCATTGAAGATGGGTCGTGGCTGGGTCTTCCAGCATGACAACGACCCGAAACACACAGCCAGGCCAACTAAGGAGTGGCTCCGTAAGAAGCATCTCAAGGTCCTGGAGTGGCCTAGCCAGTCTCCAGACCTGAACCCAATAGAATATCTTTGGAGGGAGCTGAAAGTCCGTATTGCCCAGCGACAACCCCGAAACCTGAAGGATCTGGAGAAGGTCTGTATGGAGGAGTGGGCCAAAATCCCTGCTGCAGTGTGTGCAAACCTGGTCAAGACCTACAGGAAACGTATGATCTCTGTAATTGCAAACAAAGGTTTCTGTACCAAATATTAAGTTCTGCTTTTCTGATGTATCAAATACTTATGTCATGCAATAAAATGCAAATTAATAACTTAAAAATCATACAATGTGATTTTCTGGATTTTTGTTTTAGATTCCGTCTCTCACAGTTGAAGTGTACCTATGTTAAAAAATTACAGACCTCTACATGCTTTGTAAGTAGGAAAACCTGCAAAATCGGCAGTGTATCAAATACTTGTTCTCCCCACTGTATATTCTAGTGTCAAAATTGACTACAAAGTGTAAATAGGATACTTTTGTTCATAAAGTCGGTCCAAAATGGAGTTTTGTAAGTGTATTTGTTACTTGAGGGTTTGATTTTGATTTTGACAATGCTCACTTGCCCACTAACCAATTTATGGTCATTCTGGCGTCTGCATGGGCCGTACAGCATTTACTGCAATGGGGCCTCTGCAGAAGTCACGACAGTTGGTTGTATTCATGCAAGTCATATTGGGTTAAAGCTATTGAAGTATAGGAAATATTTTAGACATAAAAAGCCCTGGAAAGCGATGTGGTTCCGGCGGCGTCCGGTGAGCTCTCACTGGCCCTTGAAAATCTGGGGTAGAGAGTGTAAATCTCGTGCCGGGCCGTACCCATATCCACAGCATCTTTCCAAGGTGAACAGCCTCTGGCATGTTAGAACAATGTATGGCAAGTCCGATCCGTAACTTTGGGATAAGGATTGTCTCTTAAGGGCTGGGTCGGTCGGGCTGGGGTGCGAAGCGGGGCTCGAGCCGCGGCTGGGGGAGAAGTCGCTCCGTTTCACAGGCTCTCGTGCGTGGTCTCGCAAGTGGCTGCGTGCAGGGGTTCGTCGGAGCGGTGTCCGCCAGCGGGCCGAAGGCGGACCGGTGGGGGGTTTGTCCGGCGGTTGGCGGCGGCGACTCTGGACGCGCGCCGGGCCCTTCTCGCGGATCTCCCCAGCTACGGCGCTCGCCGGCCCCGTTCGCGCGGGGTCTCTGGCGGGTCCCCTCGGCCGGCGCCTAGCAGCTGACTTAGAACTGGTGCGGACCAGGGGAATCCGACTGTTTAATTAAAACAAAGCATCGCGAAGGCCCGAGGTGGGTGTTGACACGATGTGATTTCTGCCCAGTGTTCTGAATGTCAAAGTGAAGAAATTCAATGAAGCACAGGTAAACGGTGGGAGTAACTATGACTCGTAAGGAAACCTTAGCCCAGGATGATAGTAAAAGGGGCAATAAGATACATTACAAGAAGGGGAACACACATATTACCATAAAAGACAGTTGCAGGTCGGAGGGCCATCTTACAAAACAGGTCCACGAGCCAGGTCCATACCCTCTAGAGTTTGCAAAGAGAGGTATGAGAAACTAACCATGAGAGGCACACAGGCAAGGCACATATGATGCACCTCCTATTCATTGAAAGAAAAGTGTTTCCCATGTTCCGGGGACTCTGGGGTAATAATTACCCTCATGATGACTAGATCCGTAAAGAGTGCAGGCCAAAGGGAGTAGACAAGGGGTCTATTAGATGAATGTGGCTCAAACAAATCCCCGGCTCTGGCCAGGAGGAACAAAGACGGTCGTCAGAGCATGAGGGCACTCTTGACGAAAGTGCAGGCCGAAGGGAGTAAACAAGGGATGGCACGGTAATGAAAGTGACTTCCGCTCACAACACACATCCACCCATACTCACACATATACGCACACTTGGTAAGGTGCACGGGGCGGAATGGTAACAAGTCTCACAAACACACACTCACACCGGCAAAGCTCATGCTTCCATACAGTGGCCGAGGGCGCTACCATCCGATTCCCAGTCGAATAATCCCTCTTGTGTTGCCCTCAGGTGTCTCCGAGTGCCGGACAGAGACAAGCAGTAGGAAGAGGATGCCCACCCCAGTTGAAGGACCTTGGTTCCCTCTTCTCCAGGTAAGTAGTGCGTAGCACATTGATGACTAGATAGGGCGACTGACAGCCAGTCTGTAAGCCGGAAATAGGTCTACTCGGCCATGTGGCTCAACCAAATGACAAATATTCAAAGGAGAAAAGCCCCATTTCGCCAGTGCTCCTCATGTCAAAGTGAAGAAATTCAATGAAGCGGGGTAAATTGCGAGTAATATGACTCATATGGGATGGAAGTAATTAAAGATTTAAGGAAGTATATGTAAAAACAATTAACATTTATAAAAAAATAGACAAAGTCAAAAAGCTCAAAAGTAATTGCTGTGGATTGGAAGGAAGGGGTCCCTGGAC